ATCTCCGGAGATGCCACTAATCTCCCTGTATTAACCAACTGGAAATGTGATGGGACAGATCTGCTCTGGAGCATGTGGCACGTCTCACTGAAGTGGAAAGTGTGTCACACCCGGGTCTCCCTGCAAAGGCCACAGCTGAGGAGGCAGCTTGTGCTGGGTTTTACACTCCAGCGACGGAGTGCCACATGCCGGGGACACCGAGGTGGCTCTGGTCCCTCGTCAGCTCCGTGCGTCCTGAAATGTAACAACAAACCAAATAAAACCCCCTCAAACCTAGAAAGAATCTTATGATGATGAGAGTGAGGGATAGCAGGGAGAGCACAACAGTCAAAGCATGTTATGTGCTGCTGGATGTGGGAAGAGCTGCCAAAACAAAGAGTTTGGAGGTTGCTATTCTGATATTCTTAAGGATTCCCCTTTTACTTTTCTCTCATAGAATCTGTTGGAATAATCAATATTTGCACAAACCCAGTCTTAAGTTTTCTCCCTCTAATTGAAGTTTGACACCTCAGCTACAGGTGAGAGGTGAAGGAGTTGCTGGTTTCATGGAACAGCAGTGGATTAATGCTTGTTGAAAGTACTCACAACTGGAAGAGTCACTGTGGAGCCTCAGGTTCTCTCACAGGCCATGGCCAGAATTCAAGAGACAGAAACCAGTCCTTCACCCAGTCCCTCAATCAATCCTTCAGCCAGTCCTTCCTGGGTCATTCCAGGTGCAATTAGACTCTGTCCTATGATGAAATGCCTCAGTGATGACCTAACAAATAAAATTACTTATGTTCAAAAAAAAAGTAAAATGAGCCCGAAACCTGACTTATTTCACCTGTTACAAAAAGATTTTTGCAGACTTGGTGACTTCTTGTGTCACAGGCAAGTAATAAAAATATTTTCAGTGAAGATGGTGAAGTACACAGATAAAGTGAACTTTTTTCCCCTGGGCTGATAGACTTGATCAAAACATTTGAGGAAGATGCAACAATGAAATTTGTATCTCCTGGTGTTTAACACAAGTATTTTAGTGCTGTATCAAATAACTGCCTCCCTTGTATTTAAAGGATTAGATTTAGTAACATGTGTCTAAGGTTGGTACAGGTTTTTCTTATTTAGAAATAAGTGTTTCCATGCTTTTTGCAATTTGTGGTGCACTTAAAATGTCTCTGCTGCTTTGTGATTCAGTGCTGTACACACATTTTGAGGGAAGTGTCACTTTCTGAGAAATTCTGTGCTGCTTTTCCTGATTTTGAATGAATCTGTTAAGTACCATGAACTAGAAAATTACTTCCAGAGTGGCGTTTTCAGGTTTTTATTTGAAAAGATGAGATGCAGAGAGCCTATAGATGATGAAAGTCCTAGTGCAAGCTCTTTCTGCAGTGGTGTTTAGAAAGAAATGACTGCATTTATTATTTTTTTAAAGTTTTCATTCTGGTGTGCATCCCTCAGAAAGAAGGGGAGAATTACCCTGCTGAGGAGGGCTGAGAGGAGTTTGGTGCTAGGCCTGGAAAACAAACCTTACAACTTAAGGCTCAAAAGTTTTTTTCACTTTCTTGGTGCCTGGATTGCGCTGGGTAATTACTGACAAAAGGTAACTGAAGGCAATGATCCTTTTTGTGTTCTTGACAGAGACACAGAAGCCAAAAAGCAGAATATGTACCAATTCTGTCAGGCACTAAGAAGTAATTTCATAAAAATAAAAGGATCAAAATGTTGGAACCACTCACCATAAAAATAGAGGACTCATTGTTGGTCAAAGTCTTTTAAGACAAGATTAGGTTGCTTGGTAAAAAATAATTTCTTTGAGCTTCTGGGACATTTTGTACATGGCCTGGAAAGAGAAGATGATCCTTCCAGAATTGAAATCTGTTAATCTGAGCAAACCTTCTTCAGGGCCCTTGAGGAGAACAGAATTGCCTTTGTGGTCTCACCATGTTCCTAATATTGCTACAAAGATCATAATCAAATCTCATGCTTCAACTTTCCAGTGTAAAGGTTCAGGCAGGAATTTTTCCAATATTCAATTAATTCACTCTGTGCTCTGGTTTTGTTTTGCCTCTCTTCCCTTTCTGTGAAGCACCAGAGAGGGAGAACAGGAGAATTGTAACCACCCCTGCTGATTAAAAACTTGGGTCACTGTCAGCATCTTCCTCATTCCCACATGGAAATAGCCTTTTTTTCCTTTTTTTACCAGCAACTTATTGGTAGATTTGATGCTTCATAGAGTAGTAATTAAAAAAAAAAACCACAAACCTTGGTGGAGTAAATTGCTGTGCAAATATTTTGGGTATACCTTGAACAGTCAGTTCCTTGGAATTGTTGTCACTTTTCTCCCACCTGATGTCTCTACAAGTTTGGAAATTATATTCCAGTTCAGACTCTTAGCAACTTAATATTTACAGCAAATTTTATTTTTTTATTTTTAATCCTACAGGTTGTTAAAGCTGGGCCTAGTAAGAGATTATGTTGAACTATTAGTTACTTTGAACAGGCTTTCAGTGTAAGTTTTAATATTTTTGTTTCCTCTTAAAGGCACCAAAAGTAATTAATAAAAATAAGTTTGTGCTTTAGGCTGGGCTTTAAAGAAATTTTGTGAAGGTGGTAGAAAATGCAGTGATATTGGCCAAAGATTTTATTAAAGGCCACAATTGACTGGAAAATCCTCACATAAAGAGCATTTAGTACAGGGCAGCTTTCCCAGCAAAAGTTTTATTTTAGTTTTACACCTCCAAGCTCTTTTTTTTCCTTTCTAGACTCAAGAGACAAACCTGTCACTGAGGTCCATCTCTCTTTGAGTGGGATGTTCATCGTGTGGCAGAGTGGAGGAAAATCAACGCTTGACAGCAAAGAAAGCCTTCAAGGCACAGAAAAATTGGCCTCATGTTGATTCCATCACTCTTCTCCTTTTAATTTTTTTGTTTTCCATTAAAAAAGCACGAGGGTTTTGAGTGGTGTGTTTGTCTCTGTGCAAGCATTTTGCACACAGCTTTTTTGCCATGGTGGGACCCAGCAGATCTGGGAGGAGGTGATGCTGTCAGGGGGCACAAGCACAGATGTCACCAAGTGCCAGCTGGATGAGGCATCTGCTATTTGCCTCCATCCCTTCACTGCAGCACTCAAAGAGAAGAAGATACAAAGGCCTGAGTGTATTTATACATTTATTATTACCACATTTTAAAGTTGTTGGTGGATTTGTGTCCATTACCTTTAAAGATTGTTGCTCTCTCTGCAGTTCTTTGAATAATCAGGATCCATAATGAATATTTGTTGATAATCTGTGGGTTTTAGTCACAAGAATTTTATTTGTGACAGAATTTCAGAGTCTTTCTGGCCTATCTATATAAAATATTCCAGGCTAGGGGACAAGGAGCAACCTGGGATAGTGGAAAGTGTCCCTGTAAAGTGGATGAGCTTTCTTTAAGGTCCTTTCCCACCCAACCCAGTCTGGAATTCTGTGATTTCATTATATTCCTTGGTTATTGGCGCTTGAACTCAGGGTTTTACCCAGTGTGGTTGACAAAAGCATTGGTAGAATGGTCTTACCATGATTGGCCAAGAGATCATAATGATGATGATGCATTTGAGTGACAGAATTATTACCTATAAATTGGAAAAACTGTTCAAAATAGGCTGATGTGGAAATAGTAATCACTATTAAGCCTGTTGATATAATTTTAGCTGTATCTACTTGGGAGATTCCTATTTTGAAATTCCCCTTCTATCAATATTATAATTTGCTAAAGGTAATAAATCACTTCATTTAAAAAAGTTTGTACATAGATCTTGCAGTGGCTTTCTGTGTTTTCGAGCAGGAGTGAACTTTAATGTAAAGGAACTGACTCGAGTTTCACTGGTTTAAAGGTGTTTTTGAAGGGCCTTTGAAGTGCTTGAAGTAATAAATTGCACCCTCTAGTTATTAGCCCAGGAAAATGTATATTTTGGGCAAAATTTCAGTGGGCAAAATGTCAAAAGTTATTTTTTCTATTATTTTTCTGACAGTTGTCTTGCTGTGCGTTTACTGTATATTGTACATTACTGTATATTGTACATTACTGCATAAACCATTTTATGATCTTGAGGCATTGAGGGTAAACAGTTGGCATTTGTCCTCCCGCTTTCCAGAAAATTCTCGAGCAGCTTGAGCAGATCCAAGAGACAAGTGAGTGCTGGGGCAAGAATTGTGTGAAACTCTGTAAAATAAAACAGATACGGGCAGGGGGGAACACCCTCTTTTACCAATGCTCAGGATATGTTTGTACAGCTGGCAATTTGTGCTCCTTCATATTCCTTGACCTAGAAATAGCCAAGGCTTTAATGCGTTCTTGGAGGGGGAGAAAGGTGTTGTGGAACAGAGCTGCCACATCAAAGCCTCTCCTCAGCCTCTAAAAGGGTTTCCACCACTGCCTTCCTCGGCCCTATCGAGCACTCAGTGCTTTTCCCACTCAGGCTTTTTTATTAAGAAATGGCCTTAAAGCTTTTATTTATAAGAAAATGATAAAAGTGACACAAAGAGTTGAAAAGATCTGAACGGTTCAAACAAAAGTCCATCAGGACGTAATGTAAATTCTGGGTGAGGTGTCTCCAGTCAGGCAGCTCAGCTGCTGCTCTGGGGAGAGTCCTCCCTGTAGGAGAGAGTTACTCTGAGGAGTAGTTTTGTACTAGGATGTGGTTTAAAACTTCCAAAGTCTTCCTGGTGGTAAAAGAAACCAAGTGTTTGATAAGCAATTGCACAATACAGGTTGATGACCATCGTGGAGATCATAATTCAGTTTTCCTCCCTAATGTAGAAGGTTTATATTGACCCTTTGTTCTCCAGGATTCTGCTGGGATTGCTGGAATTCTGGGTCCAGGACTTGATGTTCTTGGAGGTGTTTTCCAATCTTAATAATTTTGTGGTTCTGTGACTTTTCCTTCAGCGTGCTAAGCAACATAAGGAGGCAGAAAGAATGAAGTGCCAGTTTTTAAAATACCCTGATTTCCATTAAAATCTTTTTTTTTATTCCTTTCAGCACCAGCCCACCCTACTGCTGTGTGGATCTGTATTCCCTGAGAACAGGAGAGATGGTCAAGTCCATCCAGTTCAAAACTCCTATTTATGACCTGCATTGCAATAAAAGGTAAGGGTGCTCTCTGCATTCCTTGTGTGTTAGGGCATGCCAGATTTTGGTAATAAATACAATTTCTGGTGTATGACCTCCCTGATTTTCTTTTTTTCACTCTCCTGTAAGCAGAGCTCTGGTTCTTTGTTTCTCAAGGAGTATTTCAGTTGGAATACATCAATGTGCTTCCCCCATGGCTTTGGTTTAAGAAGCTCAAACCAAAAAATCATTTAAGCTTCTTTCAGTTGTGCTAAAGGGTGAGCAGGAATCGCTGAAATCCTTGATGATCCACCTACAGCTGGGGAAATGGGATCACAGAGAGTTTAAACAGCACAGTGCACTAAGGAGTTTATGTCTCTATTCTTTGTGTTGGTCTGTCAGATTTTGCCTCCCTGCACATCCAAAACATTCCTGGTGTGCAGTCTGTGGTTTGCAGGGAATAATGTTCCAGTGAGTCAAGTAACAAAGCAGCATCTCTGGGTTGGGATAGAGGGAAAATGGCTCTGGAGCTCTGAGGATCACAGAGTTCCAGAGAACAGCATCTGTTGTGTCCATGGAATCAAATTTTGCTGAGTTAATGTGAAATCCCCATCTCTCCTAGACACACAAAACTGGAGTTTTGTGGTTTGCTTTGTAGTTTGCCGCATCTTTTTAAGGCAGAAGAGAAATCCCAGGATCCTTGTGTGAGGATCCTGCTGATCCCTTGGCACTCCTGATGGGAGAATTTGGAGTGGTGACTTTGGTCCAAGCCCTGCTGACGTTGTGATCCCTTCACCCTCCTTTTACTGCCATGAGTCAGCGTGGCCTCAGGTGTCCTGCGGGAGTGGTGCAATCCAGTTCCTGGGGTAAAGGTAGAGCCCTGGATGAAGAAATTCCTGCATTTCTTTGGGAATCCATGTTGCCATGCCAGAATGGATGGTCCTTCAGTAAATAATAGCACAAATCATTGGAAAAGTCAGAATTATTTGGGTTTTGTGTCTGGTTTTGTTGCAGATGGGGAGTAGATGAGTGTGCAACTAAGTGTAAACTGCTACTGAAAATAAATAGATCAATAAATCCTCTGGAATTATCCGTCTGGGGGGTTCATTTCTGCAGAAAGACAGAGTGTCTTCAAGGAGGAGAAAGCAAAAATCTCCAGGACTGGGAAATATTCCCATCAAATATCCATGGGTTTTCAGTGTATACACGTTACACTTCCACCTGCAGTCAAAGCATTCCCATTATTCATTGGTTTCCTTTATTTTAGGCAATGTAGAAAAAGTCAGAATTGATATATTTTCTTTTTCTCTCCTGCAGTTTCAGCAATTGGAAGATGTCATTTAACTAAAATTACAAATATGTCCAAAACTAATTTATGTTATTTATATATCTGAAAACAGCACCAAGCATGAGGGGATGGTGTATATTTTGATTTTAGTGTAGTCCTTCACAGGTATTGAGCTCTTACGGGATAAGAGGAGATGTTCTTGTGGCAAAACAGATAAAAAAGGGAAAAAGGGTTAAAGGCTGATTTCACACTTCTGGGAGATAATCATCACCCTTTCCCCAAGGATATGAGTTGAGGCTGAGGTGATTCATCCCATTTTTAAAGGTGACTGTTCCAGGCTGTAACACACAGTCATAATGTTCACATGAAGCATTAGGTGTGTGTTTTAGCCAGTGAAAGATGTGATTAATTTTTTTCCACGTTGTATCTTTACAATTAAAACTATTAAAACAATATTTAGTAATGCTCTATATTGACAGCTAATTAAAAAATACTTTCTCACAGTCTGCCTAATGAGAGAATAACAGATTATTAATTATGTCATATTGCTAAATGGAGGTTTTATGGGTTGGTTTCCCAGGTGCTTCTTTCATGTCAAGCTTTTAAAAACTTGATTTTGGGAAGTCATCATTGTGGGAGAAGCGTTCCCTGGTTCTGAAATTTCCAATATGCTACTTTGCTTCCACATTTGCATCTCTGGGCTCTGATTTTTTGAGGCAGCACCACGTCTCCTGTTACCCTGTGGTTTTAGGCCTTTACAGTAGAAATGTGCAATGTACAAGCAAACACATATACATCTTTAATATGCTAATTGACCCAAATTCTGCTTCTCTCAGCTCTGTTTGTGTGCTGATGTTCTTGGTATTACACACCCCCCTGCTTTTAGCAACTAAAATGTTTTAATAGATTTGCACTGAGGTGGGCAGTGGGATTATTTCACATTTAGCTCACGTTCTGCCAGTTGTTGACTCGATTGTTGTTTGAGCCAGTGACAGGAATTCAGGGTCTTTGCAGCTCCATTCTTGCTTTTTAATGGAGCTTTGACTGCAAGAGCTGTATCACAAATGTGCTGTGCTGCTGTGGATCAGCCCCCTGCACTTCCTGAAGTGGAGCTCATGTGGTTGGGAGCAGAGAGAGCCCTCAATAACTGCCAGGGATTGCTAACCTGGCACTTCATCACTGCAGAGTTTATATTGATGCTTTTGAAATAATTACATTTAGATATTGAATCTTTAAACCAATGCATTTAATGCCTAAAGTGGACATTCCATTTCTGTGTTTTCAGGATCCTCGTTGTGGTCCTGCAGGAGAAAATCGCCGCCTTTGACAGCTGCACTTTCACCAAAAAATTCTTCGTTACCAGTACGTACAATTTTGGGCTCAAGGTGGACAAAACCAGATTTTTTTGTTTGTTTGTTTGTTTATTTCTAAATCCTCAAAACAGGTCTCCACGAATCATTTGGAGCTTCAGAAAAATTTGGTTCCAAAAAGAAAACAACCCAAACCCAAATGCTACTCTGTGAATATTTAACTCTTGCGTGTATTCATTATTGATGTAACTAATTGTAAAGGGCACCCACACTGCCATCCATCAGTAGCTGAACAATTCTTTTGTTCATTTTGCACAAATATGTGAAAAAGCCTCAGGTGGGTGTTCCAGGTTATCACATCAGCAGCAATGAAACCCATATCAACAGTGATCTACCCACTGTTCATTTTTAGTTGTTCCTTAGGCACATTTGGTTTTTTCATGTGTCTTTAAAGTTCATAATTTAATTTGGAAAGGTCAGAGTTTTATGTAAAAAGAGTCTACATTTTTGTGGTTGTACTTTCAGTCACAATTAGAAAAGTTTAAATTTTTTTTTTATATTGTCTCTGTATTTGTGGAAAAACCTCCTTAGGAGAAGCTGTTTCTTGTCATAGGTTGAGGGAAAGCAGCTTCATGCAGTAATATTAAAGTTGCCAATAGGTGTCAGTTTCTTCCTATCCATGGATGTGAGATACTGGGAATCTGCTGGGATTCAGTGACAAGATCCTAATGGGAAAGGACTTATTTCTGTTCTATTCACCACTCCCTTTTATTTCATCAAAAAGATTTGAGTACAAGCCTTGCTTTTTTTTTAGACCAAAAGTCAAGAATACCCCTCGGTTAAATGTGTATTCTGAGAATTTTTGGGCTTATTGTGTTGAATTTTTTTAAAGATACTGCAGTTTATTTTTAAAAATCAGTGTTCTGAAGTTAATTTTGAGGAGCAGGAATACTCTGTTCTTAAACATAACTTTGATTTGCTTTTTGTGGAACAGCTGTGGAATTTAAAGAGGAATAACTAAAACTTTTGGAGATAATGACAAAATTATTTTTTAAAAAGTCCAAAAATTCCTGAAATGTCACTAATGCCAGTGTATTTCTCCAACTGTGCTGCTTTTTAAAATGTGAAATTCAAGATTTTCTGAAACTTTCCTCTGGTTTCATTAATGATAACCTCATTTTTGGGGCATTTTGGTTACCCCAGCCACCAGAGCTGGAGGCAGCACAGCCCTTCCCTCTGGCTGTGACATGGTGTGAGTGGGCAGAGCTGTGTTTTTTCCCTGGATTTCTGGGTTTTGGGACCTGTCCTGAGGATCCCAAGCTCAGCCATTCCCTGGATCCTGCTCCCAGGTGGGTGCTGTGCCCTGGCACGTCAGAGTTTTGTCTGAGCTTCCCCATTTCATGTGCTGAAATCTCCTCGACCTGAGAGCCTATCTTTAAAGGCTTAAATTCCTCTGATGTGTTTGAAATTGGATGTAAATGAGCTGCCTTGTTAGCTGCAGGGATTTCTGGGAGGCGGCCAACTGGCCACGACTGCCTTCTTTGGCTGTGCCTTTGAAAAAAATTATTAAAGGACAGTGCCAGTATCAATTAAAAAGAATAGAAATCCTTGAAAAGGAAGCTCAGGAAAAGGTTTAGAGGCCTTTTGTTTGCATTATTGGGGCAGCCTATGTCCTGTCCAGACCGATGCTGGTGCACCTCAGCTGTGAGGATGTCACTGCCTGCCCAGAGAATTTGACAGCATGAAAAAGATTCTCTGGTTGGTTTCGGTCAGAAGGGAGTGCACAAAGGGCAGAAATATTACTGAGGATCACTGACTCTTTGAAGGGTTTTGTGTTGCTTTTAGAGAAAAGAAAATCTTTTTTTTTTCAAGAAGATTTGGTGATGGTGTGGAAATCACATCTTCCATCCCTAAGTGCTGTGGGAGCCTTAGAACCTCACTGAGACAGCACAAACATGAAGCAGAAGCTCTGGTCTGTTGATTATTTATACATAGAAATGAAATGCAGAATGTCCAATTAAAAGCAGTGTCAGGAATTCTGAAGTTCCTCAGAAATGCTAATGCAGCTGCCATGCACATGAGGAGTATTTGTCTTTCTGTTTTTGTTTTTGTGGTTGGATGTGTAGCTTAATATATTGTTACAATAAATATACCATAAAATATTCAGGATGTAGATGGTCAAGTTCATGCTGCTGTTGGAATGTTTTAACTCCTGCATTTCCTGATTTTTCCTGAGTAAGTTTGACATAGAACCAACCTTTGTTTTCCCCTGCTTGGGATTACATGGAAATGTGCTGATTTGACTTGGATGGCAGGGAGCCAGCACGTTTTATTTGTGTCTTTTTTAACAAAACCTCAGTGTACAGGTGCTCCAGACTGGGAGAGGGAATTTAAGACAGGTGGAGGGAAAACATGCTGTAACAATTGTAGAAAAATAACCAGGATATCCCCTAATCTAGCCTGTGGGGTGTTCTGATTTTTAAATGTCTGCTAGGAGAAGGCAGAACATCAGTCTCATGGCAGTCACTTCCATCCATCACAGCTCTCCTTGTGCTTGGAGCCAGCTCCTTTTACCTAAGAAAAGACACCAAGGGGAGGAGAAAGCCCAGCAGGAATTCCACATCCTGCACTGGTTTAGGTGCTCATGTGGCCAAACTGAAAAAAAACCAATTCATTTGATACTTATGTTAAGAACATGTTTCCTTTACTAGTTGTGAGTGTCAAGGTGTGAATTTTAAATAGCTTCTGAAACATCTCAGAGTTTAATTGTGGTTCACTTCAGATTTCCTTCAGAGCCTTTTCTGCATGTGACTGAAGGATCAGAAACCAAAGTGATGCACAGAAACCAAAGTGATGCTCAGGCTTTTTTTGCCTCTACTTTGCTCTAAACAAAAGCTGCAGAAAAGCTGAATTCCATTGATTTCTATTCCATCAGTGCTCCTCACCCCAAAACTGCTTACTTAGTGCAACATTGCTGATTATGAATATGGCCTGATGGATCCTTTCCTTCTCCAGAAAGAACATCCTGCCCACCCCCTGGGCCCTGAGTAAAGATCCTCCCAGATAACATCATGCATGTGGCATCATCCCTGTGTCTGATAACGAGGGCCTGCTCAGCTTCCCTGGCCCTTCACTGCCCCTATTGATAAATTCTCCATCCAGGATTCCCCAGGGATGGAGACAGTTATTGCAGCCATTAGCTGGCACCACGTTTCTATTGATGCTCTTCTGTAGAGCCCTCAGAGGTAATTTTGCAGATTTTAGTCAGAGTAGTTTATTGTATAGAAAGTCTGGAAAGGCTCTCCTCACCACAAGCCAAAATCAGTCTGTGGATGTTGAATGTCCTGCACCTCTCCAAGTGAATAAAATCCCCAAAGCAAATGGTGCTGGATGCTCAGATCTGCACTTTGGATTTGGGATTGCTGTTTGCTCTCACATTCACACACAAGGAACGATTTGGTGGTTTCAGTTTGTCACAGGGCTGGTCTGGAAATCTTCAAGGCTTTTTTGGACATTTCTGTTGGAATTCCTTTCCCTCTCGGGCTCATGGGAAGCAGTTTGAGCTCTTGACTTTGAAGTAAAAACTGTGGGTGTCTTATGGAGAGGTTTAATGCCTGAAGAGTCACATTCTTCAAGAAGTTTGTGTGTTTCCCTCCTCAGCTGTGGGCATTTCTCCTGGTTATCCCACACAGGATAATAATTGACAGGATTCCTTTGTCTGTGGGGGATCAGCTCAGAGTGAAAGTCCTCAGGGCAGGTGGGAAGGGAGCTCCCGAGTCACAGGATTTATTTTCTTGATCAGTGAAGAAGAGCCAAGTATGTCCCTGTGGATTGCTATAAGCACTTTTAATTTTTATACACCCACATTTATATGAGCACCTAGCCCTTCATAGTGTATTTCCCTGAGAAATGTTGATTTAATTTTGCTTTTTAGCAGCATTATTTATAAGAATGTTTTCTTCCTGGCTGTGGGAATCAGTGTCTCACCATTCCAGGATAATGCTGAAACACTTTTTGGAGAGGCCTTTAGGGCACCGTGGTGGATTTATGGGAACAAACAGCTTTGGTGATCGCAGGAGGTTTTGCTCCACTGCAGGAAAATGTAAATAAAACAGAGAAGCTGCAGAAAGCCACAACAGAGGCCTCAGTCCCCAAGATGTCTGTCTGTCATATCTCCTGGCTCTGACAGTTTTACAAATTAGATGTAAAACAGGAAGTGCTCTTTGTTTCTATATAAGTTATTTTTATCTAAAGCACCCAGATCCTTAATGTTAAAGGGCAAACAAAGGCATCTGACATTGTCATGCACAGAAACAACAATCTCAGCGGTAACTTTTATTATTTGTCACTGTCCAAGTCTGAACAAAAAAAGAAAGTAAACCTGAGATTAAACATTGCCCTGAAATCAATCAAATTGGTGCTGAATTAAACAGCAAGGCCTAATGAACATGAAAGGCCACTGATATTTTTAGTATAAGCTCTGGGATTGTGCTTCAACCTGTGGAGTAACAGTAAAATCATAAAATCATGGAATTTGTGAGCTGGAAGGGACCCACTGGGACCATCAAAGTGCAGATGCTTCAAACTGCCATGGTAGAGTGAACAGGGAAGGAGAGCTCTGTAGTAATAATAATAATAATTTAATAATAATAATAATAAATTAAGAAAAAAAGGCCCTGGGTGGCAAACCTGATTTCTCAGTGGGTCCATCCTGCTCCTTTGCTCTTTTACTCCATTTTATGGGTGATACTTAAACAGAAGGAAGTACAAGAACAATAGAAGAGTTTTGGAAAATATGTGACAGTGTGAGAGTAATAACATTTACACAGGGCCTTTCATCTAGAAGGAACCCAGAGGAATTTATAAACAATATTGCTTTATACAGTTTATAAACAACAAAAAATTGCTTTGCTAAAAAAACCAAAAACAAAAAAACAAAACAACCAACAAAAAAAAATTAGATAAAACAACTTATATGATTTGTTTTCCTTGTAATAAACAAAGCTTTTGCTACAACAGTACCACTCTACCCATTATTTATTGCATATTCCCCCTCTGTGCTCTCTGTTGTCTTCTGCTTTCTGGCTGCTCTGCACTGCAGGACTGAAGGATGGAGTTTTGTAATTCCATTCCTATGGAGAGCTCGGTCTTTCGTAAGACCCAGAAAAGCATTACAGATTGGTTGTTAGAGAAGTAGCATCACTTCAGTGGGTTCTTGGAGCTATTTATTTAAAAATACACAATGGCCCTGCTTCACTGATTTTCAAAGTGATAATCCAGCAAGTCCTTTGAATGATTCAAAGCAAAGAATTTTGGTTGAAATGAGTTATTTCTTTTGGAATTTGTTTAGAAAACTGTGTTTAAAACCACTGGACACTTCATTTGACATATGTCATCTTTAATGAACTTTGCCAGGCACTGACCAGAAAAATCCTTGTTTCTCCAGAAATCAGGAAAGTTTCCTTAGGATGGAGGTGAGCCTGGGAATCTCTGCCTTCATGGCATTCCCTGTGACCCAAAAGATGCCATTTCTGCCTTATTTTGGGGTTAGAGACAAAATCCAATTAAAATCTATTAATACAAAAGGCTTTTGTATTAATAACTTCCCATCGTCTCAGCTTGAATGAAAACTGCTGTCCTCTGGTATGGATTCCTCACAGGTACAAGGTGTGACATATCCACTAAAATTCCCCCTCCAGGAAACAGAAAATCAAAAATAGTTATAAAATAGGATGAGTATGGACCACTGCAAAGGAAACTGGAAAGAATTGGGGAAAATAAAGCAGTGAAAATGATGGAAAAAGAAAATTTTCCTATTAAACTGATAGGGAAAAAAAGACTGAAACAAGATAGAAGAGAACTTAAAATGTTTTTCATTAAAAAGCAAGAACAAAGTCAAGATAGAGGGGATGAAAGTCTGGCAGATACCAAAACCAGATTTTTCTTTCCCTGTGCGATAAATATTGTTGTAGGGAATAAAGTTCTTATAATGTGCTGTGAAATTAAAAATCAAGCAGTAGTGTCTTAAGATAAACATGATGGGATGTGTTTGAAGGAAAGCAAGGTTAGGTGATTCTGATTTGGCTTTTTCATTCCCTCAGCTTTATTAATTCATGTATTAATTTGCTGTAGTTTATCAGATGTCATTTTACAGTATGTTTTAGTGAGGTTTGAGAAAAAAATTAAAATTGTGCTGTGGGTAGGGAGTTACGAGAGATTTTCATCATTACCACAAGAGTAGTAATTGAAAATTAATGGGAAATAAATAAAGCTTCTCTTTGCTCACTCACAAAGCAAACATTTGCGTAGCTCTTTGGAGAACTTCAGGTAATGTGGGATTCCTGTATTCTCAGTAAAACGAAATATATAAAATCAGCACTGATGAAATATATAAAATCAGCACAGCAAGGAGTAAGTTTAAAGCATTTTTGAATGCAAATAATCACAAATTATATACTTATGGCAGTTATTTTATAACCTAGTTATTAAAAAAAAAGGGAAGAAACTGAGAAATTGTAACAGTGAAGAATTTACCTATGGGGCTGTAGATAATATTTGCATCTTGGAAGTGGGAAAACTGAGGCACAGGATGTGAGGTCCCTCTTCAGAGGGATCCTGGAGCCCATTTCTTATTCCTCACTGTTCCTTAGGGCAGCACCAGTTGGAATTTTTGGATGTAGGAAGTTGATAAAATTAGCAGAAAAACTTGGACTTTGATTCTGATTTTCAAAGTGCAATTTTTCTTCCTTTTTTCCTAGTTTGAAGTTACTAATTTCCTCTGCAAAGAGGCAGAAGATAACTGTGTGTACTCAAAATTATGAAGTAGTTTCCACTAGGTTTTCACCTATATTTTTGTGAGTGATAGGCCCAGATAAGCTGGTTCTAAGATCAGATATTTTTTAGTACTTGCTTGATTTGCAGCACTTTTGGAAAGACTTTCCCTGAGTGATCCTTTCTTGGATGACCTCTCGATGCTGTCATTAAAACTTGGAAACTTTGGTCTTCTTGACAGTTAGTTCTGCATTCTCATTATGTTCATTCCTATTGTAAACACACTAAAGTTGCTGCTGTTATTGCTTAGAATGGCTTTTTCCTCTGTTGTTTTGAAGTCTGGTAGAAATAGAAGTTAATCTTTAAGAGAGTGGGGCTGGTGAGGATTGGATGGCCCAGCTCAGTGGGTCATGCCGTGTCTGTCTTTTCATTTGCCTCATAGATGATGTTCTGCTGACTCCAGCTGTTTTTTTGGAAAGCAGAAAAACAATTTGCTTTTCCTTCCCATAAAGTATAACCCTTTGTTTATCCTTGTGCTGCTGCAAGTTTCCAAAATGCAAAGACTCGCAAAGAAAAGAAAGGGAGGAAATAGCTCCTTTTTTTTACGCTGTTTTTCGTATCAGAGAGTAGAGTTTAGGACTGAGCTGAATTGTTGACCTTTGTGGAGTTTATTCTTAGAATTGGTTGATTTGTGTGTGGAGTCTGATTGACTGAGCCCAGTTCATGGGACAAACCACGGGCAGTGGGTTTGGGGAGAGCCATCCCAGCTTTTCTAAGTAACTTTTCTGTTCAGTGATCAATTTTAGATTTGAAGAATTCTTCTTGCAGTTCTTCAATGGCTTCGGTTCACTGAAGTAATTGAGAACAGCTCCCTTTTCCAAGCAGGACCTGTTTTTTTGCTATGAATTGCAGAGACTCCTTCAATTTTCTCCTGCAGGGATGTTACAAATTTGGGAAACGCAAGTCACTGGTTTTAAAGTCACTGTAGAGATTTACATGACAAGGGTTATCATCTGGCAACTTTTAGTGCTGTATTTTATACATAAAAGGGAAGGTAAAAGAAAGGTTTGGGGGACCTGAATTCTTTTTCTGACCCAGATAAGAGCTGCCGAGGCAGAAGTCGGCATTAAAACCTCACAGCTCCTGATCTATAATGTCATCGGAAGAACACGTTTGTATTTACAACCCAGGGCTGTATTTACAACCTTTTTTTTTTACTTGCTTTGTTCCTTAAGAGGCTCTTGCTGCCCACATTTTATGCACTCCTGGAATACAATAACAATTGTGGCATCGTCTCTTCAGAATTCGTTTTCCTTCCTGAGATCAGGCTGGCGATAAGGACTCAAAACCCTCTCTGGGTTCTGCCTGAGATGGGTTTAACTGGATGAATTAGTTCTCTTCTTCCCTTGCTTTCTGACCTTTCAAGCTGTGATCTTTGGAATTCTGCAGTACCCTCAATGCTCTGCTCTGGAAAATTAAATCCAGGCTTGTTTATCTCAGCAGGGCTTGTGCAGGTCCAAACCCGCATCCAGAGTGTTGTCAAATGTCCATTTAACCTTCCAGAAAGGTGCTGACACCTCCCACGCCCCTTCTCAGGCTTTGCAGGTGTGGGAAATAAAACCTCACCAAACCTCTCCACTTCTGGAAGCTCTGCTGTGCTCAGGGAATGTTCTGGATTGTTCTGGAGCCTGCAGGAGCAGAGCTGGGCATTTGCGGAGATCGGGTTCTTTTCCTTGCTGCGGGTACAGAGCAGTGTCAGAGTCTCGTATGAGAGATCCAGAAAATAGAAAGCTTCTCTGGCACTGCCTGGCTTTGGTTTTTGTGTTTTTTGTGGGTTTTTTTTTTGTTTGTTTTTTTTTTTTTTTTTAAGGATTTTAAGCAATACACTGAATAAAAGTTGTGTTGTATGTGTTCTGAAATGCAGTTTGCCTGCGCTCCTTCAGCCTGGGATACAGGAGCAGCTGCCCAGGGCTCCTTTAAATCAGACACACATGTCTGTAAGGTCTTCAATATTTTGTTTCTTGGCCAATCAGTGAGAGGATTTAAATTGCTAAATGGACTGAATTAGCCTAAGAACTGATGAAAAGTGAGATTAACCATTTGCTTGATAGCCTCCCCCTTCCCCCTGTTCTTTCCTCCTTATTTTTTCATGTACAAATGCTTATTTCTAAATACAAATTATTTGTAGAAATACAAATTATTTGTTTTATTTACAAAAATGTTATTTTATTTAGAACATTTTATAAAAATACATATTTTAGAAACTTTATATATGGCCATTTAATATGATTCATTTTAAGCCTTTCTATGTTTTCATTCCCAGCTATTTTGTCTAACAGGTATTTTCATGTTTTAATCCTCAGGAATAATTCTCTTTTCTGTGCTCATTTTTATCACGGTGTATAAATCTATTTTTAATGATAATATAAAGGTAATGGAAAGCAGGTGAACAGTGGAACCACTGCCACAATTTTAAAGGAATTACGAATTTTCCCACTGTGTAAAGTAAGGTTTGTGCAAAAGTATATGGAGAGGCTGAGGGCTTGTATATAGAATTGTTAAAATCAAAAGCATTTTGAAAGGCTGAGGGTTTGTATATAGAATTACTAAAAATGAAACCAAGAGCACAAAACATCCTTTCATACAGTAAAAATCTAGGAGAGGTTGAAGTGAGTAAACTGTTCACCAACAGAAAGGTGTCAGTCAAATAAAATTAATTAAAATGTGAAGATACAAAACCAGTCGAGTCAAACATCAATACTCCCTCACCCCAGAATATCATCTTTGTATCAAAATGGTTTTAAAAATGCAAACATAAGGAGAAATTAATATTTACACATAATTAAATGTTCAAAATAGCTCATCTAACCACAGCCTTATCTCTAGAAACAAAAATGCAAGCATTTACTGAGTGATATTGCAACTGAAAGGCTTTTGTTTAGACTTTTTGTTTTCTTGGCAATAAGTAAAATTCTTTGGAAGAAGTCATTAAGATATTTCTTAATGTTGCCTTTTCAAACTTTGCAGGCTGCTATCCTTGTCCAGGGCCAAACATGAATCCCATTGCTCTTGGAAGCCGTTGGCTTGCTTATGCAGAAAATAAGGTAAGGAAAGGTTTGATATCAAAAAATACTTCAAGATTCTGTATATATAGGGAGAAAAAGAAAAGATCTTAAGAAAAAGGTATGTGCAAAAGAAAGTCTGTAAGAGGAGTTGAATTAAAATGATAGTCCTAAGTATTTTAATATATTAGATCTTTACTCTGCACATTTGTTTTAATCTCAATTTAAGGAACTTTGAGGGCAGAGAAGACAGCCATCAACATGTGTTTTCAGTGAGGTAACTCAATAATCAACCCATTTTTTGCTTTAAAAGTTTAAAGCATTTAATTACAGACACTTCTGAAAGTAGGCAAAAAAACACTTCCTAAATTCTGGTTGGGGAAACTGAGTCTGGACAGAGCCCGGGTTTTTCTGAGCCAGCACAGCAATGCACTCTGTAGCTTAGAAAATTGCATTAAATTGGCCACTTTTGAACATCTTTGAAAAAGTTAAGCTCCAAGAAAAAAAAAGAAAAATTTTAGACTTTTTTTTTCTTCGGGCTAGAGACAAAGTAAATAGATTCCCAAGCAAAGAAATAATTGTTGCTTTTACCCAGAGGAGTGGTTGTGTATTTAAAGCTTGCAGTGAAGCCTAAATTTGGCTCCTAATACCTTATTTTTATTTCAAAGCAGATGTTTTTTCTCCCTTCCACCTGTGACTGGAGAAGCTGTTTCTAGATCTGAGCCAGAAATTATCAGAGGCAAATTTTAGAAATCTATTTGCTGTTACACCTCCTCCAGTACAGCTGATTTCTTCCCAAATTCAGACTTGCCTTTCCTTTAGTGCCACACCTTGCTGATGCTGGAAAACTTAACCCTGCTCAGCATGGGATTTAAAAAAGTATTGCTGCCAAAATATCAGCAAAATAATTTTATCACAAAGGGAATTTAAATGACTTGTGTGTTCCCAGGTAAATTCACAGTGGGCTTTCCCGAGTTTAGGTATTTTTTATTTAGATATTTAAATATAAGCAGGACAGAAAAGCCTTTAGAAAAAAATACATTTTACAGTAATTTTAAATTTTCTTTAGCTCAAAAAGTCAAACAGGCAACATGTTCTGTGTGCAAGCAACAAATATCTATATTTTTTTTCTAATTTTGCAGAGAAGCACAGATTCTATTGTTACTTAGGGTTCAAAGGCAAAACCTACTTTTGTAGGGTGATGGCAGGTACAAGAGTCTTGTTTTGATTTATTGATTTTGAAGGAAGGCAATAAAAAGCAAACCCCATGTACATTCCTTTAATCTATTAAATGCAAAGTTTCAAACAACTCTTTTCCTTTGTCATTTCTTTGCTTGCTCGTCATAAAAAGGAGGGGAAAGCCACACTCGGATTCTTAGAATGGCTGATAGTTAATGTTACATACACAGGGCTAAAGCTTTTGATTATATTTATTTAAATTTATTTGTGGTATTACTGCCAGACCAAAAATCCCACCATTTCAAAGTTTATGAATTCTTAGTGAGTACTCATCTGGTAATTGAAAACTGGAGCGGAGGACGCGACAGTCTGGGTGGCACCCAGAAGATTATAAAAAGGGGTTAAGTGTCTCAGCAGGGCTTTTTGCTATTTGTAGGAAAAAACACACCACTGTACATGATAAATAAGAGCTCTGGTAATGGGTTATGGGTTTGTGTAGTTTAATAGTAGTGACTTGGTTGCTGTCTTTCTTCTTGTAGCTGATCCGATGCCATCAGTCCCGTGGTGGAGCCTGTGGAGACAACATTCAGTCTTACACTGCCACAGTCATTAGTGCTGCCAAAGTGAGTCCATCATCTGCCCTGGGAGAGCTGCTCGTGGAACATAATTATGAGGTTTCCCTGCTGAATTGGGCTGTGTGTCATCACCCCCTCCCTCCCAGAGAGGAGAGCACACTCAGAGCCATGCAGGCAGCAGCCCCGTGCCTGCCCTCCCTATCCTGCAAAGCTCTGACTAACTCTAGCTTTCCACAAAGTATTTCTGTTTCTGAACTGATTTTTTAAAATTTCATTTATTACAAACAGCTATTTACATTAGAGGGAAGTGACAGTGGGATGGATTTGTATAATGGCTGTTCATAGTGGCACAAGTTTATATGATTAGAAATCAACGTTGTGAATTATTAGTCTTTTAGCATCATGAAAAGTGACTTTACAAGTGCCTGGTGCTTTTTGGACTCCATCACACCCCCATTATACATTTTGCTCTCTCTGAAGGGTGACAGCACAGTACTGGAGCTAATTAATTACCTTCTTTGAAGGTTAGAGCTTATTAATGACTGTTTACATATAGGTTCCATTGCCTCGTTTTCGTACTTCAGATGATGTTATAAAATCCCTCTGCTTTCAGAGAAATGTCTGGGGTTTTGTACTATCAAAAGAAGCCCATGGCTTGGAAAAATGTTAAACAAGACCAAGCACAGCTTTTGTTTCACTGTCTCCCTCCCAGCTCCTTTCCTTGCTGCAGCAATTTCTTTTTCTCACACACACACACAGAGTTTTGGCACCGTGGGGTGAACTCGGTGCTGATTACAAGCTTCCCTTGTAACCACCAGCCTTTTCATTTCTGATATGTGCAACAAAACAAACCTAATAATAGGAATGAAATGACAGCATGGGACAGAAGGCTCAGTGGCACCAAGGAAAACAACAGTTAGGAGAAGCCACAAAGAGAGACACAGGGCAGGCCAGCTCATGTGAAAACAAAACAGAAAAACAAACATAGTCCATCACAATCACAGTGTGGCCGGAGAAGGAGAAAAATCACAGCTTTTTACATTGTTGAGGGGAGCTGGGAATCGCTCCTCTCCTGAGGTGATTTGCTGGATCTCTGTGTAGTTTCACCAGCAGCACAGTTAAAGAGGTGTGGAGGGAAATCTCCCCAAATTCCTTCAATCCAGCATCGTGAACATCTATTTTATAGCACAGATAAGTTTGAAAAACTGAATGGCTTAGTGTGATCAGCCACAGTTTGGATCAGATGTGGCAAAATCCTGCAAACACATCACTGTAGCTGATGGCCTTCCCTGCTGAGTAGTACTAGCAAGGGATCATAATCCAGAAATTCTGCTGGTAAGCTGAATTTATCACACTGAAGTAGTTCTATTGCATCATGTGAGTAGATACTGAAGATAAAATGTGTTTATAATCACAGGAAAGAGAAGATTGTTAGCCTCTGTACAGAGATAAACTCCCAGTGAGTTAGGAAAAGGGATAATCCCCAGGGCACGGGCTCTTACTGCTCTGTATTTGCACAGCACATTGCTCATGCTCCTGCCTGTTGGATGTTACTGTAATAGACAAGATTAATACTAATATAGTTTTAAATATTTGCATGATTTGGCTCTTGAGGAGTGTCTCAGCCTTAGTGTATTAATTTGTTATCCATGAGCGCACCACAGTGAATCTGCAATGTTTAATTTATTAGTGATTTCATTGAGTCTTGGCTTGCTGTCTAGCAGGTTTTCATCTCTGATAACTGCAGGGCTGACTTTCTTGCTGGCAAATAGATGCTGCATATATCTGTTGATCTTTGTCCATCTCATTGCCTCACCATCAACTTCACTCCTTCCTTATTTAAGTAATTTATGAACTTTTATTTATGCTATTGTGTCCTATCAGCTGCAGGGGTTTGTAATTCCTTTGCTTTGATTAGTGCAGGAGCAGCTTTTTGGGAAGTGCATGTCTCTTCCTTTTCCTTGCACTGCTGCTTTTTGGTTCAGAAGTGGTTCCATTAAAGTTCTTGTTTTGCCAGGTTACCTTGGGTTACAGCCTTTTCTCTATTTGGCTTCCAATTTTCTACTGAGGTGAAGAACCTTCATATAAAAGAGAAGGAAAGCTGAGAGCTTTCAGCAGGGTCAATTTGGAGAATTGCCTCTCAGAGCCTCTCTAGAAGGTCTTGGTGGCAGCACAGAATATTTTCTGTAATTGTTTTCCCTTTGCTGACCCATGTCCTGCTGGGGACAGGGGTTTGTCCTCAGTGGGGGCTGCTGCTCTTGGTGCAGCAAATAAATTTCCTCCTTAATCAAATAACTTGGGAGTTACTTGGGAAGGTCCCTGTTCACCAAAATCACTGAGGTCAAAGTTGTGATCGTGTTGGTGGCTTTCTGAGTGTTCATGTTCTAAAAGCTCCTGTAGTTTCTGTCATTTGACCAAGCAGAAAATTTCAGGAAGCAGAAGATGTGTCAAGATTCACATTTGGATTAATGATGAGTGCAGATAAAAATGGAAAAAGGGAAGTAGCATTCCTTAGAGGTGTTGAAGAATGCACTCAGTGCATGCAGACAGGAAAGTCCCTTCCATGGGATAAAGATTCTTTTCAGTCCAGTTGAACAGAGTGACATGGACACAGAATTTCTTTCAGAATAAACCCTATTATCCCTTTGTTCAAACTGAGTGTGAGGCTCAGCCTCACTGTGTTGACACCCAAGGCAGATCTTTTTGATGTCTCTTTCTTCTTTCTATAGATTTTTTATTTGCAATCAAATAGATCATATAAAATGTATTTGTTATGAGAAACAGGAACAATATATTGTGTTGTCACTAAAAGGATCCAAGGCCTTTCTTGGAACAAAGCATCCTAACAGGCATTGAATGGTGCATTTTAATTCTTTTCATCTAATTAAAGTTGTACTTACTTTTCAGTTAAATGAGATATGAGGGCATACATTTATTTTAATTAAATATATTCAAATAAATGTGAACAGTCATGTTTTGAAGAAGATAGGGTACACATGAGCATATAAATAATGTGTATTTCTGCACACTGTGGATCATTGGTTACAAAAGAAACTGGGTGAAGTATTTTAATTTTTTTTATCAGCAGACTTCACTGGCGGGTTCCCATCAGTGACAAAGGGACCGGGACAGTGCAAACTTGAACCCATTTCACTTAAAATGTATTTTCTCTGTCACATGTCTCGCATCAAATTATAAACCAAGTCCTTCTCACCTCATAACTCCTTTGCTTGAGTCCTTCTCCGTATCTTTTAATCCTGTACTGGTAAAGTGATTTAGCAAAGGCTGCATCTGTTTTCTCTTGTTACCTGATAACTTCTTAATGAGGACTAACAGCTTATGTGAGAGCAAGGTCATTAGCCCTAATGGATGGAGGGGACAGCTGATATGGCATGGGAAAGGTTAAAGATTACCCCAGAAGTTTTTGCAAATATACACAACAGCACAGGGCAGTAAGTGCTGTAATGGTTCTGCACTGATATTTCTGAGCTAATGGCCTTGGCCACATCTCTGCACACCTCTCCCTGCTGCAGGCCCACGCTGCTCCCACACTGGTCATTTTCTGCTGGAGAGCTGTCAATTTATGGTTGGTACTTTGCCATCCCATTGCTCTCATTATAAATATTAAAGATCTTTTCTAAAACAGGTCAGTTACAGTTTTTAGCCTTTTCCTTTGCCCAGGTATTTTGCCATGTAGCATTTACTGTTTTCTCCTCCCTGCTTTATAAACTGAGAACAGATAATTTTCTAGGATTTTAGCTATTGGCCAAAGAACTGCCTTGTCAGTTTTTGCCAGGAGAGCTGGAATGCATCCCTGTGATGGCACCGGGGCTATTTTAGGTTTATTCCTCAGCTGTCAATATCTGCTTTATGTTACCTCTCCCAGCCTCCCGAGTTCACCACTCTTAAAACCCGTTTTATTCTCTCTGCCGTAGCCGGGTATAAAAAGAAATAACAAGAAACAAATGGCAGGATATTACTAAAGACTTTAAACCCCCAAAGCCATTGCTGTGCTAAAGGCCTGGCTCGATTTTAAGTGGAAGTATCTCCATTAGCATTAATGGGGTGAGTCCATCAGCAGAGGCATCTCAGAGGTTAATCAGCCTTCCTGGCTGGCCATGGCCATCGATACCGTGTGGCGCCTGCTGCTGTTGGCCCTTCAGAGGCTTTCCTGACAACACACTAACAGACTTTGTGTAAGTCATTTCCCATGAATTATTAAAACAAACGTTTGGCTGCTAATTGATGAACACTAATGTGTTTTCTAATCACTGCAGTTTGAGATTTTAGCACTAAACAAAGCAGTTGCAATTGATTTGTGGCTGCTTCTTGGTTTCAGCTTGGGATCTGGACATTTTTTTCCTTTTCAATTTAGCAGGCAGCTTAGCTTGTCTTTTTAGTTAAGAATTGGCTTGTTACAGTGTCATTCCATTCTGATCTCTTTTGCTATTTCTTATTTATATTGCATAATAAATCTGTTCAATTCTTTACAGGCAAATAAGGCACAGTCCTTGGTTCAAGGAGAAAATATTTAAAGTTGTAGTTGGGCTTGTTTTTCTTTCAGTCTGCATCTCTCCTACTATGTCTACTCTGCCTCTTTTTCAAAATAAATAAAAATAATCTTCAGCATCTTTAGCTGCTAAAAGCTGGTTCAGTGAATGTGTTTTCAAACCCATGTCTGGGAAACACAGAGAGCCTGGAAAGTCCCATTCCTTGTGCTGGGGTGTGCCTGGGAGTTCCAGGACCTCGAGGGTGGCGTTTTTAATTTTCCTGGATTTGAGTCTCATAATTATTTTTAATGCTTAATTACTGAGTAAAAAATGAGTGTGTCAGATGTAACAAAAGACAAATTCTTAGTCTCTTGCACTGTGCAGAAGACAAAACTCTGTCAGCTTTAGGGGCTGTTTGTATTTTTGTGTGAGCAGTACCCTCCTCACATCCATCGTGGCCTCATCTTTGATCCTTCTGACTATGGACTATGGGAGTAACTAAAATCAAAGTTAGAAAAAAACCTCAGCACTGGAATACTTAAAATACAAACACATTAAATTATTTGAACATTAAAATACTTCTTTTTTTCGGTAATACTTTGGCCTAATTGACTTCCTACAGAAAGGTGAACTCTTCCATTTGCTGGGATGCCAGATTTTTTCAAGCTATTTTATTGCAGCTTTTTGCAGTTGATACACCACTCCTAAAAAAATCCACTTGCAGAAAGAATCCGAGCTGAACCCACAGCACAGCCCTCAACATGATTTGAAGCAGTTTTTTTCCCTTTTTTTGCAGACAATAAAGACTGGGCTGACAATGGTGGGGAAGGTGGTGACACAGCTGACGGGGACGCTGCCATCGGGAGCCACCGAGGAGGAAATCCTGGCTCACAGCAACCTCCGCAGGAGTCCCCTGGTGCCTGGGATTGTCACCATCATCGACACCGAGACGGTGGCAGAGGGACAGGTAACAGTGTGCACACAGCCAGAACCTGCACGGCCACCACAACCCCAGGGAAATCCTTTTTGTGCTGATGGGAGTGAAAAATAAACCAGGTTTGCACCAGGGTGGGAATTTTACAGACCCACAGAGCTGGGATAAAATCCTGTTTGGGACTGAAATGCAGCCAAAATATATATTGTCCTTGCAGCATATTTATGTGACACTTTGACAAGATCAAGTGTGAAGTGTCACATTTTGTCTCCCCAACACTTGCTCCTAATTGACATTGATTGATGCTGATCAGTCAAAGTGGAGATGGAGTCTGATGATTTTTATTAATACAGAACGTGGCAGGAATGTGGGGTTGTTTGGGAATGGGGGAATTGTTGAATTCCAGGTTAAAAAAAATGATGGTACAAGTTGGCTATGAAGTGTAAAAGTTAGAATTTTATGTAAATCTCAAATGCAGTGGAGCACAATGCTGTTTTTTCAGGCATTTGCACTGTTTTATAATAATAGAGTAAATTTACTGTATACAAGAATTCACAGTGCAGTGCATCAGGAAAAATCATTTGTTACAAACTCCACACCATTATCAGACAGTTTTAAAATTGCTGGATTTTCCTGTCTTTATGACAGGAAAGATATCCATGTCTTTTTTTGTTTGATTCTACCACTCATTTAATTTTAAAGTGGCTGGTCCTGGATTCAGTGTTTATGCAGAACTCCCACACACTTCATTATTCTGTAACTAGCGTGTGAGATTTTTTTTTTCTCATGGTCACATTTATGGAATTTAAAGCAAAAAAAGCTTTATTTTTTTCATGTTTTCACCTATCTTTATGATGCTCATTGCAAGTAAGTTGGTGAGTTATTAAGGGGCACATCAGAAGTAAAATATTTAGCTAAGTATATTTTTTTTCCTTGACAGGAAAATAAAATCTTTTACTAAAAAAAAAATAAAAACAAAGAAAAACTTCATTATGGTTTTTTCCTGAGAATTAATTTTGGAAGTATTTAGCCAAGCAATATTGCATTGAAAGAGAATTGTTCATAAAACAGTATAGATATTTTCTACCAAAATTGAAATAAAAGAAAGAAGATATTGGGGAAAAAATTAATATCTTAGAGTCAGGTTTTAAAATAATTCTGTTGGCAGCTGGGATTTGTTTTTGTTCCCATGAAAAAAAAAATTTCTTGTCTCTTCATATACAATAAGGAAAGAAAAAAAAGACAAATTTGACTTCATAAATTTCTGATGAAGCTGTTTAATGTGGTCATTATTTCTGCTGGTTGCTGTCTGTGCTTTGATTCTTCTGCATAGGCCTAGGGGGGAAAAAATGATAGATCTTAGGTTTTTAAGGCTTGTTATATATGATTTAGAGGTTTTATGAACTTGTCCTCTGACCCTAACAATAGTAGGGAGCTATCAAAGCCTAAAGGGCACTCCAGGAGAGGAGCTGTAAAAATGATAACGTTTGTCTTGTCCAAACCCTGCTGCTCTAACATAAATAAGCCATCATCTCTAGGAAAATAAGTTTTGTCTTGAATCTCTAGGAATCTGGATATCATAATTGTTTGTATTGCATTCATATTTTTGTGATCTGAAGCTTTTAAATGCTGTTAAATTATGTAATTTATTTCCAGTGCTGTTATTTGCTTTCAGAATTATATTTATTTCCAGGAAAAAAGAAATTAACCTTTCTTTTGCATTGTTAGATTTTCATGGTGCAGGAGATTTTTTAAAACAATTTTTTCTTACTGAAATGTTAAAAAATGCACTTTGTACGTGGTTATTCCACACTGCCAGTACAGAACCTTCTCCTGTGAGGGGTGTCCTGGGTGCTCCGAGTCCCTCTGAGTCTTTTCCTGTGCCTGCAGCTCTGTTTGCAGTGGAAATGTGAATTTTTGTGCAGATGTGAGCTGGGAGATGCTGGTTTTGGCAGGGATGTGATGCTGTGTGCTGGCAGGAGAATTCCTGCCAGGAATGCCAGTGTGGAAGACACTTGTTTGTGCTGGCTGGCTGACCCTGGCTGGGTTTGGGGCAGGATTCAGGGAAGGGTTTTAGCACCTCTGACCTCTCAGTGAGGTGAAATTCTCCCAGAGCTCACAGCAGATGCTGCAGCAGGGAGCTGATCCCAGCTGTGAGCTCCTCATGCCCAGAGTCTCTGACTTTGTTTTACTCTCCTGTGGAAAATCAGTTTGCTGGGCGTGGGGACTGAGCTCCATCCTCACTTTGGAGGGCTGGTGGGGCAGGCTGGTGATGCCAAGTCCTGTAAAACAGCCCTCTCTGTTGTAGGGTTACTGTTTCACTGGTTTTTCTGAAGTTACTGGTTTATAGAATCACAGATTCACAGACTCAATAAGTTTGGAAAAGACCTGTAGGATCATCAAGTCCAGCCTTTGACTGAATCCTGCCATTCCCATGAAACCAAATTGCCAAATTTGCTCAGTTTTTTTGAATCCTCCCAGGAATGGTGACTCCACTTTCCTGTGGGGGAGCTCCTTTTCCAATGCTGGACCACTCTCAGTGAAAGGATTTTTCCTTGTTTGTTCACCCCAGTTTTCAGGTTCCTGAAATGAAGAGTTCTGAGTGGAATCAACAAACCCTGCTGGGGTGAGATACCAGGATTGGGATGTTCATGGCTGTGCCCATCAGGCTCTTCCTCCTCTCACTGAGAAAACCTGAATTTAAAATTCCAACCAAGTGTTTCCTGGGCTAAATGTACACTTGGACAGCCTTGAATCCCATTCAGCAGGGGTTGGTGTGTTCCAGCCTTGTCGCAGCTGAGGGCAGTTTCAGAAGCAGGGAGGAATTATTTTCCTATCATCAGTGCCCTCCTAATCTAAAATAAATACCTCACCTCCTTCAGGTCAATAAAGATTTTTATCACCTGCACAGCCTGACTAAGAATTTGGGTGTTGCAGTGAAAGATGCATTTTTCAAGTAATAAAATAAGCCTGTAAGATAAGATACAGGAAATAAAAATAACCTGTTTTAAAGAGAAAGAAAATGGAAGACAACAATAAATCTAAGGCAGGCAAATAAATCAGTTGGATGAGAAATAAGAACTTTTTTTGAGTGGGGAAGCATTTTTTTTTACATAAATGTGACTGAAGTTTTTCAAATTAGTGATGCAATTACTTTTTCAGTTATTTCAGGCATAGCACACAGGTTCTTAAGAGGGACTGAGCTGCTCTGTGCATGTGTACAAATATAACAATTTCTGTGCCAGGAGAAAGATGAGGGGACATGTTTTGGACACAAACCAGGAGGCTTAACTATATTTTTCACTATTTTTTTTTACTTTCTCCTATTTATTTAATGCTTTTGCATTAAATATGGGAGGGAGCTCGATGTGTGTCGTTCACTGCCCTGTGCTGCCATGGCAGAGGGTGAAATGCAAACTCACCACTGAAAAATCCACAACTAAAGACCAAAGAACTCTCCTAATGTAATCTTACAGGATTAAATCTGCGGGGGAAAGTATTTTTAATAAACCTTATGAATGTAGATATTGTAGTAAACTCTCATCCCCAGCAGTTGTTTATGTGATAGCTCCTACTTTCAGAATTGATGCTACTTTAAGAAAATTTGAATTATGAGGTAATTAAATAAATGCAGAGGAATGCAGAATTATTGACATTGGCTGTCAGGAGATATTTGTAAAAGGAATAAAAATAATTATCGAGATGCCCAAGTAACTTTGTGGTAAACCAAAATATGTTAACAAGGTTGTGTGCTTGTTTAAACTTCCTTCTAATGAAGTGTTAGCAAACTTTTCAGTTAGATGGAAGGACTATTTATTTGAATCCCTTAATTAGTTGAAATGGATAAACCTAAAGCTGTACAGATGTCGTCTTTTTCAGTAATTGGAATTAAATGTGTAAGACTTTATTGGCTTGGGTTTGAAAGAAAAATTATTTTCTTTCGACCTTTGTTTCTGTATTCTTAATTAATTCATCCACTGGGCCACCCACGTGCAGGCTGCAATAATGACCTTGCTCAAAAGTCACCAGTTTTGGGGCAGAATGTGAATCTGTTCAACATCTAACAGTTGGTTGACAGAGGAAGATATGGCCAATTGAAAATCCAAAACTCCATGCTGGGTGTGTTCTCCAGGGCCGTGATTGATGAAATCTCACTGTGCAGCTCATCCACAGCTCAGCAATATTGGAGGGAATATTTTCAAAACAGCTCAGCAAAATAAGATAATATGTTGATCTATTTATGGTTTAAAATGTGATGAGGACTTTTTTTTTTTTTTTTCCTGTTCCCTATTAACTTTTTATTGCATTAAAGAGGAATTTTCGGGGAAAAAAGCAGCTGCAGTTTCCAAAGTTCATTTTCATTTGAGGAGGAGTTGATATTGAAACAAATCAAGATACTTATCAGGAGAAAGAATTGTTGTGAAATTTTGGTCTGAAGCAAAAAGAAACTCAGAGAGTGGAGCATATTCAATAATAAAACTTTAACTACAGACATAATTCCACTGGTCATTAACACCAAGGCTTTTATTTTAGGAGCAGCTTTGGCAAAGGCTGATGTGATGTCCTGATGCTCAGATATTTGGCCTCAATTTTCTTCACTTTTTATATCTCCATGTATTACAGAAGAATTCTTTTTATATATAAATATAAAAAGAGCAACAGGATTCCCTCAGAGCATAATCCTGTCTGCCTCACTTTTATTAAAGGAGATCTGGTTTTTGTCAAGAAGACATTTTTGTCTCAGATAAATGGTTCAGGCTGAGCGTGAGGCTGGTTTGAGTTTATGCTGGATTCTATTAAAAGGAGTGCAGTAGTTAATGCCACAGATCTATCACTTTTAGCCCCTTTCCACTGAAGTTTGACCTTGGCTGTAACTTGGGGGAGGCTCTTTGTGACTCCAACTCCAGCTCCAGCTCTTTAAAGCATTTGGGTTCTCAAGTGTACAGCAAATATTTGTTATACAATATTCATATTTATAATTATTGCCAAACCTATTTGTTTTTATGATGATGGGATTACTCTTTTCTTAATTGTATTAAGAGTAGGACCTGCTTGATTAGATTTGGGTCCATTTTTATTTGTGTTACTTTCATGTTTTATTTAAAAACATGTCTCCACTGGGATAAGTGGTGTAATTTGCTTTTAAAGATTAAAATAATTAAAGTCATGATTACGAGTGGCTTCTGTTCAGCAGTACTGAAAATACCACGGAGGAAGGAAAATATGGCATAGGAGAAAACAGCTCTGGCTGCAGTTATCCCTGCCCTGGCAGCAAACACTGCTGCCTGGTAGTAAATGCTGCCCTCGGTGCTTTGTCTCTTCTTTTAGGGTGAGATAAAGATGATTTGGTGAATCTTTGATAAACTTCAGAGTTCTGCTGTAACAGAGCTGCTTTGGGAGCTGGTTTGGCTGCACACCCAGCCACAGGCTCTTTGGCTGGGCAGGTTTGGGGAAAATCCTCTTGCAGCTGATGATAAAATATTTTTGGGCATCAGGAGCAGCTGAGGGCTCATTCACGAGGAGCTTTGGTAGAAAAATTTCAATGTTGGTCCGTTTTGGTGAGCTCTGCAAGGAGCTCAGGGAGCTCAGTGACTCTGTGATCTCCAGAGCCATGCTGATTTCTGAGCTTTTCTCAATGAGAGACTTTGGAAGGTTTTTCAGCAGAGTGGTTAGAGGCCACTACCTTGGAGAAGGAATCCTGTTGGGGAGGAAAAAAATTGCAGCCTCGGGATTCCTGTGGGCTCTGCAAGCTCTGGGAGGAGAATGAGCTGTTTCCCTCGAGCTCTCTGACAGCCCCTGCATGTGTTATTAGGGAAATTGTCCCTCTGTTTGGATTTCCAGGAAAAATTCCCAACTCTGCTGTTTTCAGGGGCACGGAATCCTCAGCTGGCTGGAGGAGCTGCTGGTGCTGGTTTGATGTTGCTAAAGCACTGGGTGTTGTATCAGCATCATTTTGATTTCCTGAAGTTCTGTAAAAAAGGAAAATCACGCTGGGATTTAAAGCTGTGCAAGGTCTGAACTGGGATGGGAACCAGGCTTTGGTTTGGTGGCATCTTTGTGAGGGACATTTGGTTCATGATGGAGTTAAGTCCAATTCCTTGGATTTTTTTTTTCTTCCTTCCTTTGTAGTGTTGGAATTGTAAAAAATGATATTTGTTATCCACAAGTGCAATGCAGAAAAGCAGGGGGAGGACCTGACAAATCCTGAAGATTTCAATAGATTGGTGATTTACAAAAAAACACTTTTCTCTGTTCCTAAAGGATTTATTTTTCCATGCTGATTTTAAAAAGAGGAAGGATATTTTTGCATCTTTCCATGCACAAGTGTTTTTTCCACGTGTGTTCCCAAAGCCAGTTCTGTCCATTCTGACACACACAGTGACACACATCAGGTGCTGAGAAAGGAGCCCTGAGTGTCACATTCCCCACTGCCCAAGATTTCCAAATTTGATGGAGGTGCTTTTGTGGTGGGTTTTCTTCGCTTTAATTTTGCTTTACTTGGTTAATACAATGGGATGAACATACTTGAATTTAAATCTGCAAAGGTCAGTTTGCTGTACCAGAAAATCAGCTTTTATAGGGAAAGGGGGAGATCTTTAAAAACTCCTTTTGGAGTATTTTTTTTCAAGAAGATATTTTTAAACAGTAAACAACAAAGAATTGAAAGCATGGGATCAGTTAACATCATATACAAATAGAGATTTGGCCTTTTTTGAGTTCTCAAGTTTTCTAAGTCTGTTTCTAAGTCTTAAGGTGTTTTGCAGTTTTTGATGTGACTTTTTGCTTGGTATCATATTTCCAGAGGAAAAATATTTAAGGATCAGGTTGCCATCCAGTGCTCCTGCCTGTTGGACAGGGTTTGTGCTGCAGGGGTGATAACAGCAGTGCATTTATCATTTTTATTTTTTTTCTCAAATAAAGCCACGTTGAATTAATCCTGCAGAAGAGGCTGCATATGAAATATGCTGTATAACCATTTCTAGCAATGATTTAGCTCCTGTGATACCCACACATTTCTGATTGAATATTCTTATTTAGCAGGCTAGATCTGCAAAAAAAAAGAAAAAAATCCTTTGTAAGGCTCCTTTATGCTGTTAGTTGGTCATTATCATTTCTCTTTAATGAGAGCAAAGTGTTGAGGCTGAGCCCAGAGCTGAGCAGTGATAAATGATGCTGGAGTGCCTGAGGTTCCCTGGGTGAGGAAAGCTGTGCTCCCTGCAAATCCTTGGGAAGATCTGCAGCCCCTCTGGTTTGGTGGTTCTGGAAGGAGCAGGAAATGCTGACGAGGGAGAGCAAAGCCATAATTGTGCTGTGAGGTGCCAGAGCTTGAGGCTTGATCTGTCTTCCACTTACTTGCTTTATGTACTTGGGATCAAAATACTGATTTATGTAAGGGTTAAATATTTACTTTTCTTTCTAGGATGTCATTTTGTTCTTGGAAACCTCAAATGAAGCTTCCTGCACAGCACGGTGTAGTGAGCACTTTTTCAGTCTGCAATAATTCATGGAGCAAAAAGGGACTATTTTTCTATTTTTCCCTGATTTGAATATGATAAATAAATAAGAAATCCAGGCATAAAGTGGATAATCCTTTCTGGTTATTAGAGCAGGTCTCATGTCTCTGTATCAGAGAGAATTCCCAGGATTGTTGGTGTTGAGCTGACAGGCAGGAACAGTGAATGTGAGCACACCAATCCCTGTGTCAGTAAATGGGATTTTCCCTCTGGAGTGTTTTCCCTCTAACCTGGGCTGTGCTCTGTCCCCAGGTCCTGGTGAGTGAGGACTCGGACAGCGATGGCATCGTGGCCCATTTCCCTGCTCATGAGAAGCCCATTTGCTGCATGGCCTTTAACCCCAGTGGTAAGAGATTCTTCTGGTTTTTGGGATGGATGTAAACAAGGATGTAAACACAGGAACGAGTCCCCTGGCTTTGGAGGGAGTGCTGGTCCCACTAGGACACTGCAGGTGACCTGCTCTGTGGAGTGTTGGATGTGTGATTTGTCTTCTCTGGAAATTTCAAACTTTAGCAACTCTTTTACTGCCAGCCAGGTGCACACATGTTGTGATCCTCAGGTATCCAGAGGATCAGCACATGGATTAAATTGTAGTCCTCCCTAAATACAGAAATAAAATAGTTTCATTGGTTTTTAAAGTAACTTATTATTTCTTGGCTAATTAAGAGTTTGTGATCTTACCCTCTCTCCTGAGTGAAATCAACTAAAATCTGAAAATACTTGTAAGAAACTCCTCAAAAGTGCTTGTTTCTCTCCTTCCTCTTTATAAAAGTGACTATGGGCAGCAGGGACAACTACAAATCTTGTATATTAATTGATCTTATTAGTCTGACAATTAACATTTCATTATCTGCGATAAATGATGTTCTGGCTGATTGCAGCAGCACTCAGGGAATCAACAGCTTCTAGTACCCAAATTAACAATTTCTAAAATGCAGCAAATGCCATGAAGATCAGGAGGGTGAAGTCACATTTCAGAGAATAAAACTAAATGTCTGTCATTTATGTTTTCACTTTTGCTGACCAGTTGGTGTCATTCTGACACCCCATCTGTTGTGTCAGAACTCTTTAACAGTGCAGTGCAGTTCACTGGGATTTTGTGACAGAAAAGCTGTATTCTCATCTGCCTGGATTTTCTTGGAAGGGAATTTTTCATGGAGCACTGTGCAGTGAACTGAGAATCCTCAGTTCAACTGAGAATCCTCAGTTCCAGAACAGTCATTTTGCTTTGTGCTCTGAAAGAAGGATGCTACCTAAAGTGTACCAATGCTAATGAAATGAAATAAATAAGTTAAATAAATACAGCTGCTTAAATTAGAATGGTAAATAGATATGAATTAAATGCCTTCTTAAGAGAGTTTCTAGGATTGTATAAATTTAAAAGGCCAGCAGAATGTATATGCAAAACCAAATTAACTTGTTATTTTTCAAAAGGAAGGCTATTTTTGCAAATTGCTGGCTACTTCATTATAATGAAGTTCTTTGGTTTGCTCAGGTACTGGGATGAGAATAGCTTAGAGAGTGACACTTAGATCAAATGGTGTTTAATGGCAAAGCACTTCTTTAAGTGGTGTTGTTTTTGGCTGCTTGCAGATGCTGTGTGCTTGGGAGATTTGCAGGAGGGATGGGGACAAACCAGCAGAGAACTCTTCCTCCAGTGAGAGCAGCACTTAGCCCAGGATTGTGAGCTCTTTATTTAACATCAAGGCAGGATTTTGTTTGAAGCCAGGGCTGTAACATCATCCCAGCTCATTCTCCAGTGGTCATTGGCAATCAGGCTGAGCTCATTACAGAGAACAAAACAAGGGGTGGCTTTTGATTCTGTCCTTGGCTGCTTGCTCTGAAACCCCACTTTTACTCCTAATTTCCAGGACACAGTGCCTGCAGAGCTGTGCTGGGGAGGCAAACAGGGAGCACTGCTCTGATTCACTGAAAGTTTTACTTTCTTGGTCTGATAAACCCTTTAATCCCATTGTGTCTCAGTGCAGGAACTGCACAGGTGCTGAGGCCTGAGTTTTGGGAGGATCCCTTTATAGGTTTTTATTGTGTTAAAAACGAGCAGAATCCTCCTTTCATTTGGACAGATCAGAGGTATAAAGGCATTTATGAACTGTGATAATGAAAACCAACTTGTGTGTAAATGATCCACATCTCTCCATACTACAGGAATTGTTATTTGTGCTTTTGAGAGTAATTTTCAAGTCTACTGGGCTGCAGCTTTATTTCAGTCAGTTATCTTTACTTCACCACATTTAAAAGCAAAGTATAGATGTTTTATTTGTGCTAAAGCTGAGTTGCTAAATGCATTGTTGTCTACACTTGTGCAAGTTCTCCACAGCCAGTGGAGAGTCTGTTCTTTTAACCTATGAAGTTTCTTCCTGCTGCCCCTGCAGAGGGGAGGAAGGGCCAGATCCTCTGGGCTCCCCAGGGAAGGTGGGGATGCAATGTGGGAATAAGTGGAACATGAAAACCTGTAGAGATGCTATTTTCACAATTTATAGATGAAACAAAGTGTAGAGAAATCAGCCCTAAATTTTAGATATGATCAATAATTCTGGAGTCTTGGTGTTTGAGCGTTGAGTTTGGTGTTGGAGGACACCAGGACATTTTCATGTGGACACTGCTGCTCTGCCTCTGGAGTTCTACTTTCCATGGGAGCCTCGAGTGATGCAGACCAGTAAGGAATAATTTTGGAAGCTGGGCTGAGTTTCTGAGCCCACCAGAGCAGGGGATTGTGCTGGGATCTCAGTTCTTGTGGGAATTCCTGCTCTGGTCAGTGCAGAGCCTGAGCTGGACTTGGCCTCCTGGCTCCAGATGGGATTTCTGGGAGCATCCATACAAACATCCCCATTCCTTGTATCTGGTTTGGGGGGCAAGTTAAGTGTGGAAGTTCTCATATCTGTTCAAAGGTTGATTAAATAATTCACTCCTGGTTTTGGAAGGTTTGTGCCTCATTTCCCTGTCAGGCTGCACTGCCAAGAATTATATGTACAACAAATCCTGTGGGCAGCCAGGAAAGATGAGAATTATCCTGTTTGATTTTTTAGAGCTTCTGCTTCAATTTCCCATTTGTTAAGGCAAGTGAGTAGCCTTAGAGCCTCTGAAAAGGACATTCTGTTACCTAAGCTTCCTGGTGGTCTTCTGCTGGGACAGCTTTTCCCAATAAAAGCTTTTTTCTGGACTCAGATGCTGCATAGAGGGGTTTTCCAGCTGCAGGACTTGATCCTGGCTTCTACAGGGAGCAAAAGACACAATATTTTTCAATAAAAGCCCTTAAAACAAACAGAAAATACAATGATTAAAAAATTTCTGTAGCTATAGCTAAATCCACTCTCAATTTGGGAGTCGGACCAGCTTTTAAATCGATGGGATGGGTCAGGTACATTCTAATTTTAGTGTCAAAGAAGAAAGTTTTCAAATAAGATTCCCAATTAATAAACAGCTAAAAACTAATGCTAATTTATAAATATCTGGGGTTTTTTTTTCTTTTAAATGTGGTAGATAAATGATCTGCTTTCCAGAAGTGTTGCTCCTGCCAGCTTGGCAGCTGAGAGCTGTGAAGTGCAAGACATTGAAAATTTAAAATAATTATGCTTCCTTGGCTACAAAAGAGATTTTCCGCCCATTAATAACAAGAAAATTAATGTTGGGCCAGCAATAAAACAGATTAAACTGTGTCCCCCTTGGGATGCCTGACTGCACCTTTAACAGACCTGAAATTGCTCTGATTATTTTAATGTTCTATATTGAAATGTGACAGTGGCCTTGAGTTAATAGTTAAAGAGGCTGAAATTGGAACACCTCTGCACAAGTTTTTTCCCATTGATCAGAGAAAGTGGGCAGGAAAACTCTCCTGGAGAGTAAATCAAGCTGTAATTATTTAATGACAGAATAATTCTTCAGTTTTTCTGTTCATTTTCTTCTGGTTTTCAACTTGAATTATTGCCTTGGAAGACAAATATATTAAAATTAAGGCAGTTTGATGAGTTGCAGGTATAAATGTTGTGTCTCTATGTCCCATGTCGCCAAAAGGAGGAATCCCTGATGATTGATAGCTTGATCAGGAATTGCATTTTGGGTTGGTTGTGAAGGAAGAGCTGTAGCCATGGATTATTTGAGGAGTTATTAGAGTCATAGGGAGTTATTTATTCACAAAATAATATTTTGCTTCTCTTACTTTTGACTTCTTGGGATTTTTTAAAATATTTACCTTAAATCTTTATGTGCTTGCATTTATTTTGCGGTGAATTTTGCTAAAATCAGAATTTCATTATTTAGGTAAGATTTTTTTGAGACCCAGTTTTGTAACTGCAGCACGTGGTCCACTTGGGAGTACCCAGGGGTTGAGCAGCTCTGATGTTTGGCTGTATTTTCACTTACCTAGGAGAGGGATTGAGTGGGTATAAATAAAGCTGCTGTTCCTGGCTCAGGCCAGATGCCTCAGAAAACCATGGGCCGTATAAACTTTGTCACATGAATGCAATTTCTCAGCCCAGGGAGCTTAGTGGAGCAGGAATCCTGTCCCAGTGAGCCTGTGGAAGGTGGCAGTGCCAGGAGAAATCTGTGTGGACTGAACCAGGAGCTGCTCTAAGTCACTGTGGTTCCCCTGAGAGCTGTGAGCCTGTAATTTGGGAACCTCCAAAGCTCAGTACCAACCTTGTGTGGGATCCAAGTTCAGATTTCCAAACTGAAGCGTGAGAGGCTCATATTTTTTATCACTTTTTGGACAGGCAGTGAGTTGGTGCAGTGGCTGGACTGGGCATGGAAGTCTGAGGGTTGCATTCCTAAATCCAGACTATCCATGGATCCACATTTCCTCCATGCCTGATTCCCAGCACTTGTGCCCTTGGTGTTTTGAAAAGAAAGCCAACACAGCTTGAAAGTGTCGAGTCCTTCAGTGAGGGCTGGCAGAATGACACGGTTTGGGGAGGTGGAAAACCCTCTGAAAACTGAAGGGAAGCTGCTGGTGAAGCTCCAAACCGTGTGGACCTCATTTCTATGCACGCAATCAACAGCTCTGCAATTAGGGAGGTGTTATAAATAGGATGTGGTGGGGCTGCCCAGCGCTCTCTAATTTGCCCTGGGGCTGCCAGGAGCCTGGCACTCCGTGTCCCAGCAGCAGCTCCAGGCCCAGCCTCGTCAGGCAGGGGGAGGAAGCTCTGCGATAAACACGGCGCAGCCTCAGCTCCCAATCGCTCCTGCCTTCCGCTTCCAGGCCCTATAATTAGAAGTCCTTCTTTTCCTTGTATTCCCAGTTGACGCAAATGCTTTTTGTGGCTTGGCACCTCATTTAGGGTGTGGGCTTAGTTTATGGCCAGGCCAGAGTCTGGTTTAGTCTTCTGATACTGCATAAATAGCTCTTAACCCACAGTCTACATCTGTACTAGTTTTTCCTTTTATGCATATATTCCTCGTGTTTTTATTTCTATCCTGAAAGAAGCTGATTGTTTCCCCAAACAGAATGCAGGAAAAGTAGGAAGCTGTAAATTAGGGCAGGTAAAACAAAGCTTTGCTAATTTTTTTCCCCCATCTAGGATATCTGTTCCTTTGAAACTGGATTTTAATCATCTCTGTGGATTTAAAATAACCACACAGTAAAACAGTCATTAATTTAATCTGGCTGCACCCTTGCACTGTGGATAAGCAAAATCAGAATTTTTGCAATGAGATATATACTAAATGAAGTCTGGTTTACACATAAATTTCCACTGGGTCCTGTGTACGCAAGGCTTCCAATGGATTTCAGCTGCTATCTGTTAAACAGGGATTAATGCCAGTTGGAAAAATAAGCAGGAAATCCTCAAGAATTATTCACTTTTCATCTCTGATTATTCACCCATAAAGTCCCTCATAAGAGAAGACATTCGGACTGAACTTAGCAGAGCTTTAACCTGTATTTCCGTCTAAACAACTTTTTGGGAAAACTGTCACAAGGCCTCTTAAGAAGCTCGAGTTGAAATTTCCTGCACTTGAAAGTGAAAGTGAGGTAGGACCAGGATTCCAGTTCGTGTTTCTCTGCTGGAATTAGGAATTCCTGCTGGGATGCTGCAGGGAGGTGGAGAGAGAAACAAAATGGCTGAGCTGTGATAATGGAAAACTGGGATTCTTCAGTGTGAAGTAATGAGAGCTGGAAAATCCCACCACAAACCCCAGGCCAGTGTTCTGAAACATGGGTGATTTATTGTTTGAATAACAGGGGCGAGGAAGAGATTTCAAAATGCTGTTTTATAAATACACGTTCTTTCCCATCTGTGGTGTTGTGCTTGGGACCTCGGTGTTGATACAAGTCCTGCCAGAATATATTTGTACTTCAAATGCAAATGTGGGTGTGAAAGGGCCTCCTTTAACTTACTGAAAAAGAGTCTCTAATACAAGTGAAGGGCCTGTTTTCCCTGGGCTTTCATCTAATAAATGCATTTATTCCAAACGAGACAGGCAGCAGGGTTTAGATACGAATTGCCAAATCAGATACCACTCATCTTTCTATTTTTAAGTCAAATCCTTTCCAGCCACAAATGTATTATCTTTCACCTCTGTACTCCATCAAGTTAGCAAAAGCAGAGAAAAGAAACCCCAAACCAAACCCAGAAAACCCAAAGGCAAAGCACACATGGAACCAAGAGCTGGGAGCATCGTCTGGAGCTGCTCAGAGCTGCAGGTAGATGAAATGTCACAGCTGTGCCTGTTGGGATCCAGGGTGTCACTGAAGGCACAAACAGGGACCACCATGGGTTCTGGGGCTCGTGTGCCACAGGTTTTGGTGTTTGTGCTCAGAGTGAGCCCCGCTCTGCCTGAAGCAGCATTGTAGGGTTGGGAAGAAGCCTGTGAGGAGCAGGGGTTGATACCCTCCCTGCGCCACCCGCAGACACCTGCGGCTCTCGCCAGCGCTGGAAACCAGATCCTGCTGAGCTGAACACCCATGGATTGCATGGATAACACAGGATGGTGATCCCGGTGTTTTCACTGGCTCAGGGTCCTTACACAGCATTTTGTATCCAGTTCCAGACAGATTTTTGGCAGATTTAGGTTTTTTTTTTACCATCTTCCATGCTCCATGCCGTGCCGTGCGCTCGGATCCACACGAAGAAAGCTCTGCTGGGATCTCTGGGTGCACTCAGCCCTGGGTCTGCATTTATAAAAGACTTCTCAAGCCTTGGGGGAGGAAATAATACCTTGTCTGCTCAGTCTTCAAAGTCTTATGGACCATCTCCTCCAGCTTCTTCTCTAAGGTCCTTTCCATTGGGAATAAGAGAGAGCACAAAAGGACCCAAAGCACCCTCCATGTCTATATAAAGCTGTCTAATGCATGAGGAGAGACAAACACGGGAATAGAGAAGATAAATTGTTACTGGTTTGAATCAGATCTTTTGGAATATCCTTGCTCCAGTAACAGCAGCAGCACAATTCCAGCGCACAAACCCCTCTTTGCTTCCAGCTTTCTCTGCTGGAAATGCTATATATTATTGAGGACCGCACACTTCACTAGAAGGGAAGTGTAGTTTGTGATGTTGCAGAACAGAATTAATGCAAATTGTGTGCATAATCCCACACTAAAGGCTTGGCTGCCTTGCACCGGAGCAACTTGAGCTGTATTTCCTATCAACACAGTCACTACAAATCAAGGAAATTGCCAGTTAAGCCAACATTAACATCCAGACCAACCTCAGCTCACATGCCTTACCGCCCAAACATAATACCCCAGTGCTCTCCCGGATTTCTCAGCTCCATAACAAACTCCCTTTCATTTCTAACACTCGGGGCCGGAGGAACAGCCGGGAACAGTAAAAGTGTGTCTGCTGGAGGGAATCTTGCTGAGCTCAGATGTGAGATGGTGTGTTTGTGCGAGCTGCAGGAAATGCCTGGGTGCAGCGTGGGTGGCCGGGCTGGGTCTGGCCCTGCCAGCCTCAGTGGTCAAGCCGAGGGGAAGCTTGGAGGCAGTTTTGTCTCCGAGAGCAATTTGGATTTTGTACCTTGCTGCTGGTGGGCCTCAGTGCCTTGGAACTGCGTGTTTGCCTTCACAGGATCCTTCTTTCAGAGGTTCTGGAGAAGCTGAGGTGTGCCCTGTTGGTGCTGTGTTGCCCTGGGACGGGTTTCTGGACATTGGACGCACAGGGCTGAGCCTTTGGCCTCTGTGGCCAAAGGAATTTTTCTTTCTAGGCCTAAAGGACCAGGAAGAAAAGACAGAAATTTTTCTGTCTGGGCCTAAAGGACCCAACCTCTTGGATTCCAGGATTGCCATGGAGGAAAAACACTCAGGGTACCAGTCTAGTGATGAAATGGTGAAATGAAATTAGCTTTTCCCATAGAAAAGCTAATCACACTTAATTTTTACTCTGCTGCTTGGCATGCTTTTTACCGTTTAGCACTAAAATTTTCCAAGTGTCATAAGGTGGGGAATCAGTGGTAATGTGTGAGAGGTTTCAAATGTGTGCTGTTGGTATGTGGGACAGCAGAGGGATAAGCAGTTTCTGCTATCACCTGTAAATAAATGAAGGCAATGGACACTCATTTATGGCAGAAATAAGATAACCATTTATCCTCTGAATAAGTGTCACGTAAAACATGGGGACTAAGTTCTCTTCCTGCAGGGTAAAAGGTTTCAGTTGTGCTTTATGTGGAGAAATATTAAAACAGACCTGAGTGGAAATTCCTGGTTTTTCTTTAACAGATGGGTACCCTGAAAATTATTTAGAATGTCACTATTAAATTGCTAAAATCACTTTGTACTTGATGTTAACTAAATGTCAGAGGATCACTTTGGGTGATAACCTATTAATTTTCATTAATAACAGAAAAATAAATCTGTAAGTTGTTACTGTAATCATAAATTCTGCCATGATGCTGTATTTCCTTATATGTACAAAAATGCTTAAGTTTTTGTATAAATGGGTATAAATTTATGGCAAATCAACTTCAAATACCTTTGTAAATGTTTAAAACTGGGTTATGGGCTGAGACATTGTGGGATGAAAAAGCAAATAGCAACTGTAGGTTACTGTGGTTCTGCTGATCTAATTGAATAATTTCAGTACCTCCACCAGTGACCTGTTTTTAATGAACCTGGTACCTCATTTAGTGTTTCATTTGAAAGCTCTCAACTCTGCTTTTCACCAATAAATCAGACAGTTTCTTTCATTTATAAGGAAGATGCTTCTTCTGGATTGTTTTGGTATGGGCTGCTTTGGCTGGATTTCCATAATATCTTCTTCCAAAAATTGTTATTGTGGAGACATCAATCTTTTTTACACTGGCTCTTGCCCAGAGAAGAGCATTTGGGGATTTTGCTGTAACATTCATCACTTCAATGCTTCATATTGGCACACAGTTCTCAAGTTGAGTTGGAATATTCAGATTTTTCAGATGTTTTTATAGATTTGTTTTGTAATACTATCTTAATATATTAATACTTAAGTAGTAGTACTGTGAATATGATCTCAGTTGAAGTCCTGATTCATTTTTATGAGGTGAATCCCTTTCAATTCAGTAATTTTCTGTGTTTTCTTCTGTTTCCAAACCCCAAATGTAAGCCACACTCAGTGTTTCTTAGACAGACACTTTAAGCCTCTTCTTTTGCAGCGATTAATCTTTTGTGCTTTTGTGTTTCTTTTTTTTTCTTGTTTTACCCAGGGATGTTGCTGGTCACCACTGACACATTGGGCCATGATTTCCATGTTTTCCAAATCCTGACACATCCTTGGTCATCATCACAAAGTGCCGTCCATCACTTGTACACACTTCACAGGGGAGAGACCGAAGCCAAAGTAAGTTAAACTCTGCTGAAGAATAATCCCCAGACACCTTATACATTCTGTGTATGTTGGCACTTTAATGTTTGTTTCAGCACACAAAGAGCCTTTCTTGTGCTCCAGCCACAGAAGGGATAAGAGCAGAGCGTTTAACCTGGACAATAATAAATTCTTGCCCTTTGCAATGAGGTGCTGTCAGATTTATTCAGATCTGGCACTGCCTCCAAAGAGCCCCGATTATTGGCTGTGTTTGCACTTAACCTTTTCTCATGTAACATGTTCAGCATTTGTCTCGTGCCCGTGAAGGAACTGTCAGCGTTTGCCTGACTCTGGTGGTAAAAGCCACAGACAGACAATTAAAGAGTTGAAAGGAAGAGTTAATCAAAAGGCTGTGATTAGCTTTGTGGGGGGAAGCTGCAGAGACTCCCCAGTTTAACTTCCCTGTTGAAAAATCCCCCTCTCAGAGATGGAGGGCTAAGTTAGGATATTATCCAAGGGCGGAGAAGCCTGGAATTGTATTTTAAGCAATGCTCAGTGAAGTGATTTGCTGGTGAGGTGGGGGAAAGGGATCTGCTCCCACTGCAGAGCTGTGGCTGTGGCAGCAGTGAGTTCTGCTCGAGTCCTTCACGGCGAGCACCAGCAGAGCCTCACCTCTGGAGCTCTGAGGAACTGCTGAGGAACCTGCTTTAAATACAGGAATAAAAATGTCACCACAGGGTAAGAAATGAGTATTGCACTTGCTGATGCAATTACACACAGAAGCACAGCCTTGTGACAGCCTGGCAGATGTAAAGCACTGTGACAGGGACAGCCTGGGGCTCTGTGATTGTGGCCCTGGCACTGGGAGCTCGGGTGGTTCTGGTACCTGATTACACATCCTTCAAACCTTTTTTTTTCCCTGGGAGTTGAGCAGTTTCCCTCAAGTTTCTCACCATACCTTTGTGTAGAGTAGAATGTGAAAGCTTTATTGAATGTAGCAGTGGTTGATCAAGTTTTGAGCAGGGTGAATTTACATTTCTGGTCTTTTAAATACTCTAAAGCTTTCCTGCTACCATTCTAGAAAAGTGGAATTGGTGTTACAGGCAATGGTTTGCTATAAGAAAGAATAACAATCTGGAAAGTGAGAGGAAATTAGGACAAACTGTTCATTTGGGATAATATATATAGTACTAACAAGTAATTTTTAGAAATATTACAAAGAGCAATGCGATCTGTGTGTATACACATACTCTGCCATCTACTTGGGCATGTTCTATAATGTGTTCAATGTTTTAGAGTTATTTTTGTTCTTCCTTCATACAAAGTCTCAATATTGAAACCCAAAGCACAGGACTTCAGTCATGGGGAACAAAGATGTTCTTCTGATTTTTACAGCTGATAAATTTGTTTTCAAGGCACACATTGGAAACCAAACAGAACACGTTTTAGAGAAGAAACCCTTATTGATACATGTTTTTTTGGGATATAGTATTAGCATCTCTGTGAAAGCATTGCATTAAAATTCTCAGAATCAACATAGTAAAATTTTTTCCTAGCTTGCCACACAGTTTGCATTTGGGATGTGAACAGTATAGCTTTTGGAATGGCATAAAATGGAGAAAATTCTTACCAGTCTGAGGTGTGTTGGTGGATTTCACAACTCCCTGGATAATTAAACAATAGTGCATTGGTATTTGTGATTCTCAACACACATAGTTTGAAATACTTACATAATATGAGGGATTGTTTTACTTTTTTCTTTTGGAATAACAGCACTTGTAGCTGTTCAATGAGAGGAGAGTTTGCTGGTGCTGCTGTTTTGTTGTGTGAATTTCATGTATGAGGAGCATTAGACAAGAATTTTGGAGACTGTTCAATATAAAATTCTCAGTGCAGCCCACACTGGGAGCCTCTCTACCTCCTGTCTGATTAGAACAGTATTTATACATTTGCTACCAGATCTTTTTCCTTTTTTCTTTTTTTCCCCCCCCTGGTTTAAAAGTAACTGTGAATCAAGGCCATGGTCTTAAAGGTCACCTTCTGTACTGGAGCTATAAAAAGTTCTAATTTGTGTTGATGGACATGAGTGATTATCAGTGTCAGAATTTGTTTAGCTAGTACCCATTATAAATTGTTTAAACATCATCATTATGGCCCTCTTATATGTGGGATTTTAATGTCCATGCTGAAATCAGCACTGCTTTTGTATGTGAGGTTTTGGCTGACAGAGCTTCACCCCAGTTTTCCCAAAATTTCTTTTTTGTGACTCAGATGAAGATGGGGTGGGATGGAAGGTGGACCTCTGCCTCAGAAGGGAATTGTGAAGCAATGACCAACGTAGAATGTGAAGTGCTCAGATAGTTCACTGAGTCCCAAGGTCACAGTGTTCAAAGTCACTGTTCTGCAAACACAGACAGAAGTCCCTGTTTTGGTTGTACCAGATTGAGATCTTTTAGCCTTTGAGTGCCACTTGTGCTTTAGATTTTATATTTTTTTCACTTAAGAGGACAAAGAGCAGCTCTGAGTAACACCAGGAAGGTCCATTGCAAGGGCTGGTTGTATTTTACTGAGTCAGAGAGGGAACTGAACCTCTCAGAGGACCTGTGCTTGCACAGTTCAGCTGTAAAGAGGAGAAATGTGCATGTGTATGTGCTGCACATTTTGGTTAAAGATACATTTTCTTGTCGTCCAGCTCTTGCATTGTGAGGCAACACTTACTGCACTCATATTTTTACCCAAGAGCATTCTGGAAGGTTTTTAATGAAGGCATAGCATGTTCTGAACTGAAGAAGCTCATTTACTTGCAGATGAAAGTTAGCCTGTCACCTGATGATCCTTTCTCTTTGATCTGAAATTGTAAACAGCAAAAACAAAATCCCTGAAAACAGCATTATCTCAGCCTAGGACAAATAAACGTAACGATAGCATCAGCTGGCTGCTGGCCAGCTCCTCTGTAATCTTTTACTCTGTCCAATTTTTGTTATTCCCACTCCCAAACTGCAGCTAGAACTGACTTCAGTTGGAGAAGGTAAACAGGGAATGATAAAAACGTTCCAGCCTGGCTGCCACGGAGCACGTGTGATGTGACACTTTTCCAGGGAACACACGAATGTTTCAGTGATGTGATTCCACAGAGACTGTTTGAGCTTGTGCCCAGGTAGTGAAACAGTGGAACAACTTCCAAATATTGGATGTGAATCTCCATGGCCATGAGAAATTCCTTCCTGTGTGTGACATGCTCATAGTTGGTTATTGAAATAGACTCTGTAAGGTTAGGAAGATTTTCTTATTTCTAGGGAAGAAGCTGGGGATGGGCTTGAAATAATCAGGATTGGTTTAGGGAAGTGATCAGTGGTGGATGAGAGCTGACAAGAAGAAGCTGCTGCAGTCAGAAGTAGCTTGGCTGCCCTGGGGAGGTGCAGCCCTGAGCAGCAGCATTTGCAGGCTCAGCCATCGATAGAGAACTCAGCTCTGTTAAAGGCCCCACGTGAATCCCTCACTGTGCCCACATTCTGCCCTTGCTTTTACACAGAACTGAAATCAGCATTGAGGACTTGGGGAGACACAGTTGGGTCTGCATGGGTCTGATAAATCATATTGTGTAGGCCGTGATTTTATTATTTTTTCATTTGTGTTTGTTGCGACATCATTTCCTTAATTTTCTCAGCCAAAAAAATTCACATACAGACCAGTTTTCTAATTTATTTTGACCCTTACCTCCTCAGGACTGCTGCTCTTTCTCATTGCTTAATGATACTGGTTTTTTCCTTCTGCCATCTCCCTGCACAGCATAATTCAATACTTGAGTCCTGTGCTTCAAATCAGGGTGTTTTTTCTCTGTGACACAGCACAGTGATCATGAACAGGTCACGTTCCTGTTGCAGCACTGCTGGTCTTACTCTCCAAGTTTAATTAAATGCAGTAAAATGCACAAGAATATACAGATTGCACCTGGTGTAACTCCACATGACTGACAGAGGGGTGGTAGGAAGGAAAAAAAGAGTGCTAGGAAGATCAAAATGTGGTTTATTTCTGATCATTATTATTGAGATCCAAGGTTCAGCGTTGTGAGGTTGGTTTTCTCTTATGTGAATTACCTGGAAACAGTCTTGTGCTGGGTGCTCTGGGCTGACCCTGTCTGAGCAGGGAGGTTGGACCAGAGGAGCCTCTGTGGCCCCTTCCAACCCAACCCATTCTGTGAGTCTGTGATTCAGAAATTGTTTTTCAATCTGTACAGTATTGAAAGCTGATCCTCAGCAGAGTTGTTGACATGTGCCAGGTCCTTGGAGGACTCTGTATAATTAAATTACCTGACTGTATCACTCAGGGCAGACTCTGAGTGGTAGCTACATTTTAATTCACTTTTCTGGAGGATTTTACATCATAATGTTCAAAACACAGGGCAATAGAGAAGTGGAAGTTATAAAGAAGCATAGAAGAGTAATTGGAGGGAAACAGGAGAAGACAGGAAGCACATTGACCTTTTGGAGGAAATCCAGAGGAGGCCACCAAAATGTTTAGAGGGCTGGAGCCCCTCTCATATGAGGAAAGGCAAAGAGAATTGGGATTGTTCAGCCTGGAAAAGAGAAAGCTTTGGAATGGTGTCTTTTGTGGCCTTACAGTACCTGAAGGGAGCCTGCAAGAAAGATGGGGAGTCTAGGACTGATAAGAATTTGACAACATCTTACGGGTTCCCAAATTAAACAAAATCTCAGGCCTGTAATTTCCTTTACTGGTCCAGACAGAAAAGGATAGATAATATTTTAAAATACAGACGTGAGTATTAAATGTGACATTGACCTTGAGCTATAGAATAAACTTTGCATCGTGAGAGATCTGGTGTACTTTGTACTTTATTAACATATATCTGTAAACACTATGGGGTCTTGATTGATCTTTGGTATCTAAACATTGCATCATAATTAACAACAAATCCAGAAATGTATTATAAATACATGAAATAATAGTACATTAACCTAAAGAACAGCAATAAACTGCAACACTTAGCATAAACTTGAAAACCACTAATGGGCCACTGTGCAGTTTGTTTATACTCGGGGCAGTCGAGAACTCGGCGTAATGTACAGGAACGTGGTGGGGAACAGCACAGCCCAGGGCATAATTTATAGGGCTTTATTCATGGACACAGCTGATTTTTGAAGTTGTTTCTGAGACTGCCACGATGAGCATTGTCCTTTCAGCCTGGTCCATGCCTTCTTCCAGTTCTCCTGGAGAGTTACGGGCTCCTTTGCGTTGCACAGATGGATTTGCGCTGGTTTGATGTGAGCGTGTTTAATTCATGCCCTTGGAATTGGGAATGTTCTCTGAATCATCTCCTTGGACTGCCCGTGGTTCTGCTGCTCCTCCTGTATCTGTGACAGACAAACGAGGCCACGTTTGAGAGCAGTGAGCAATAGGTGAATCACGTGGAACAGCAGCTTCCAAAATACTCTTTGCCACTGCTGAGCAGGGTTTCATAGCTCTGTTCCTGTAAATCTTAATTAATTGCACTCTTCTGTCAACGCTTTTTCCATGTTATTACTGAGCATTAGAACCCTTCTGCCTTTGTGGTTTCAGCCATGTTTTAGGGAGCCGTGCCCACGATGCCCGCCCTGACTGCAGCCAGTGTTTGTGAGCGCATTTGGGATTACGGAGTTCCACACTTTCTTCCTGTAGATCAGGAATACTTTTTTTTTTGTGTAATGTTTACACTGAGGGAAAAAAAAAAACATCCTGTAGTGATTGTTTCCCAGTTTCTTGGCTGGGGTTGTCATTTGCCAGGGCTGTTGTGTGTAGTTTTTGAAAGAACATAACCCTCAGGGTGCCAACTGGAAACTGAGTACTAAAGTAGAAACACACAGTTTTGTTGCATGCTACAGTGCGATGGAATTTTTTCTCTGTCATCTCATAGTACTGTTGTAACTGAGAGTGGCAGTTTCTACGCAGTTCATATGTTTGGTTTTGACCAGGAGAATTTGCCACTTTAACAGCAAGTACTGAAATACTCTTGGTGCTGTCGTTTTCCCTGACTCCGCGGCCTTTGGGATTTTTTTAGGAGCCCTTATTAATCCCTGTGGGGTCTCTAATCCCTTGTGAGCAATCTGTTAAGGTGAAACACTTTGTAAGCAGACTCAGAGCTCGAGTGCTGCACTGCAGGTCGGTCAGAGCTGAATCCTGAAGTGCCAAAGCTGTCAGGTTTGGGGAGCTTGCTGAGCTGCCCCATTGGCAGCTCCTTTGGGGATGTCACCAGGACTGAAAGGAGCAGGTGTGGAGCGCTGCTTTAGGTTTATCTCGCTAATGCTGATGAGGCATTTTATGTTGTGACAGTCTGTCAATCAAATATCTTGTCACAAGTCACCAGACTTAAATCCTTTTTTTATCTCCGAGGCTTCAGGACTCTGCTGGAAACTTGCATTTTGATGAATACTTTGCTGCTTTTGTCTGGAATAACTGGAGTGCATTTCTGGAATATTTGTCAAGATTTTATCAGTGTTTACTCCAATTTGAGTACCTAGTGCATTGTAAAACTGGCTTTAGTGAAAACTTAAAGAATTTTATTTCGTTTATGCTGTTTAATAATATAATGAAAACTAATCCTTCGTCTATATGTTTGTTTGCCGTGGTAAATCCCACTTGTGTCCATGGTTCCTTTTAGTCAGCTTTTACCTTTAAAAACATTTTTGGAAGAATTGTTTCGGGACTTTTTTTTTCTCTATGATAAATCATTTTAACTTCGACTGCTTGTTTTCTTGAGTTGTCTGCCAGGACGGGCTTGGAAACAAACTTTAATCTCTCTTTTAAAGCATTCCTTCAGGAACAAGAATTTGCTTTCCATCAAAGCGTTGTGTAAAGCACACTTGAAAGAGAATTAAATCCTTCTGGACTTCGTATCTGAGATCTATGCAAGGAGTAACCATAGTGGAAAATGTTTAACTGTATTTTTATATTTGTTTCAAAACTGACCATTTTAAGCTAAAATAAGACTTGTACCAGTATTTGTCAAAATCAGGCCCAGTGGTGAGATCTCTCTCTTTTCTTCTCATCCCTCCCTTTTCCCTTTTTTGGGCAATCTCTAAAGATTAAACAAGCAAATACAAAACATGTAATTGCAACAATTTCCCAGCTCTTTTTAAAACAAAATTATGTTTGAAACCTACATCAAGATCTTGTGGCTTTCTGCAGCACTTTGCAGCATGGTTTGTTTTCATAATCTCAGAATATTTTGAAAAGTACACAAAATTTGGAACTGTGAATTACAGCGTATATACTGAATACTAAGTTCACTGATAAGTGCACCAAAATTCAAATTATTGCCTAAATGTGAGGGGTTCTTTTCCCATTTCCAGTTCAGATTTGTGTTTGAGACATGACCCCTGTGTTGGAGGTGTGCACGTTGGTGGCTTCATTGCCCTGTCACCCCTTTTTTCCAGGTACAGGATATCTCCTTCAGCCACGACTGCCGCTGGGTGGTGGTCAGCACGCTGCGAGGCACTTCCCACGTTTTCCCCATCAATCCCTATGGGGGCCAGCCCTGTGTCAGGACTCACATGTCCCCACGGGTGGTCAATCGCATGAGCCGCTTCCAGAAGAGCGCGGGGCTGGAGGAGATCGAGCAGGAGCTGACGTCGAAGCAGGGCGGACGCTGCAGCCCCGTGCCCGGCCTGTCCAGCAGCCCCTCTGGCTCACCCCTCCATGGTAAATCCACTTTCTTCCTTTCTTTCTGTCATCAGGATAATATGAATTTCATAAAATGCGGTAGATACTGTGCAAAAATATGTGATGTAAGCAGAGGAATGAGCCAAGGTGGAAACACTTTGGAAAGACAGTTCTAGTTTTGCATCTTGCTCTAAGTAAATGATGCTGTCACAGGTGTGTTAATAATTTCTACTCAAAACTGAAAGGTTGGGGGTCTTTAGTTTTCAAGTGTTGTTTCCATGTAAAGCACAGTCAGTAAACTGGTCTGTATTCAAATAATTGTATTGCTTAAAATTCTCATTGTTCATTGGCCTTGATGATCACAAAGCACATCTGGATATCGGCAGTAAATACTGCTCAAGGAGAAATGTGGGAACAAGGCAGTGGGAAGCTGGTGGCACAGATTTATGTCTACTTTTTGTGTGTGTGTGGGAACAACGTGACGAATAATGTGTAAAGGTAAAGAAATCTGTAAGAACTGATCTGTCCATCCTGTTCCTGTGGTGGATGTGCCTTGGAGAAATTAGAAGGGTATGAAGGGGAGCTTCAAAACATGTTCAAAAATTATCAATGTTACAGCTTTTCCAGTTTATCTTTCCTTTCAGCCTTCCTCTTTCATGAGATCTGTGCTAGAAGCTGTTTTGTTTGCATTCAGGATTTGCTGCATCCTTTCTGTTGAGAGTAAGTCACCAGTTCCATGGAAGTGAAAGTTTGAATAGCAGTTTGTTTGGGGTAGCCACCCTTTTCCAGTCTGAGAGTATTAAAAATGGCCAGGAACAGTCCCTCTTTCCTAATTATGAGTAGAATTAGGAGCTCTTGTGAAAGCCCAACTATGTGCTGGGCTTTCTGCTATAGAGAGAACCTTTGTGGGATTTCTGAATCAAAGGAACTGTTTTATGACTTGGTGATTATTAAGGGAACCAGACTTGTCTCAGAACAACCCTCTCTATTTTTGCCTTTCTTTGGACTTCTCTGAACAAAGGTTTGTGCGTGGCTGTTCTGGAGCCATCCTCTTCTGCCTGGAGCCACTGGAAGGCACCCAAAACGTGCTCTGAACTTTCTTCCTCTTTGGACACAGTTGTGTATCTACCATTTCACTTCCTCTCATCTCTGTACAGCAGCTCAGCCTGAAACAGGCTGGGGAGTGCTCCAAAGGTTTGCTATGGCACATCCAACTACTTTTAACTGTGAACATCATGGAGAGGAGAGGAAGGAACTGTCAATTTGTGTGGCTATCACCCAGCCAATTCTATTTTCTGTCAAGGGAAATTGCAGTAAGTTGTTGCCTTTACAATACTCTGAGGCACATTTGAAGTTTTGAATAGATTTGACACTTTTTAAAAAGAAGTATCAGCAGTTTCAGGATGCTCAGTGGTGGAGGTAGGACAGGCGTGCTTGGACAAGTCACTGAGAGAGAGGCAGCAGCTTTTAGGGGAGTGTCTCAAGAGTTCTGGGCCTTCAGTTTGCAGATGTCGGTCTTGAAAGATAATAAGTCAGATTTCTTTTAAGATCTCTGTGCAGACATCACTGCCCGAAAATTAGCTCTGTTTAAACAAACAGCTCCACTGGAAGTCTGCACATGAGTGCTGAGAATGAAGGCAGGAAGGTGACTTTGATTCCTGGAGGACTTCACACAGATTGTGCTCATCACTTCCGCAAGTGCAGAAGTTGGACACGTGCTGTGATTGTGTGTTGGTAATTTGCAAAACTTCATATGAACATTTTCCATGAGAAATTTGGGGGATTTATAGAGGAGTTAGCATAGATGCCTCAGAATAAATTAGGGGAAAAAAAAGTTGTGTTTGAAAGAGTCCATTTGGTAAAATACTGTAATATTTTCAGTAATTTCGTTGCTGCTTTTTCATTTCAGTAATCTTTCAGTTCCCCTGGCTGAAGGCAGGCAGGATATTGAACCCTATTCTAAGCCTTTTATAAAAAGCCATTTATCATCAACTTGTAAAGACCCCTGAAGTTCAGAGTGACTTTCAGCAGAGGGATTGTGTGTGTGTGTGTGTGTGTGTGGCAGCAGGATTAGAGACCGATGATTATTTTAATTTGTGAGCTAAGATGTGTTTATTCAGATTGTAACAGCTCCTTACCATATTATAATGTTAAATTATTGTTGTTTGGAGGAGTCCCGGCAGTCTGGTGACAGAACTGTAAACGAGTCCTCAAAACAGAAAAGAGCAGTTCTGGGTTTAATTCTTTGCTTTATTTCTAACGCACTCTGCAGCCCTTGGTGAGTTTTATTCAGCTGATTTTGTCTGTCAGCTCTCTGCTGTGTGACAACAGTAATAATCTCTGTGTTCCCTGCGTGTGGAATGATTTAAATTTTGCAGCCTTCTTCAAGAAGAATAACTGTTACGTTCCTTAATCACCCCTCTAAGTGCAGATGATTATAATGAAAGTAAAGCCAGAGACTGTGTCCTGGAGAGCACCACTGCTCTGGGACAAGGTGTTGATTAAGTGACTGATTCAGAGGAGATTGTGGCAAACTGGAGGATTTTTCTGTGTGGAGTCATGTCATCACGATTTTCCTCCTGCATATTTTCCAACTTGCAGTAAACCCTACATTTAAAAACGGCTTTTAATTTTTCTGCTGACATCTGTCTTATCTTCCCTTTTGCTTAGCAATTGTAACTTATTGATGGTAACCTATGATTAGCTTTTGTTCTTGTAAATATTTTCAGAGCTCGGGCTCTGTCGTATTTTTCTCACTTGTTTTTTTCCTCCTAGTTTTAAAATGAAACTGTTTGCTGTGTATATAGTAGCAAGGCAATCTATTTACATTGTGTTGGAGCACCCTAGGACTGTTTACCCACACAAAGTCAGCCTTTGCTGGGGGTAGGGATGATTTCATTTCCAAATGAATCATTGTTTGGCTTTGTTCTTTCCTGCAGAATGAAGTAAACTGTTAAATAGAGGATGATAAAGAGATATTTCCTTTGCACCTTTTATAACCGACTGAGATTTTGTTTGGGCTGTTCTGTCTGTTAATGCAGCGAGGTTGTATTTTTATCATTCCCTTGTATTGCCAGAGTGTGTTGTCAGGAATATCTGAGTTATGTTGGGATCCTTTTATGGGCTTTTACTAGTATAAGACTATTGCAAAATCAGTTAGTTGTTGGGGTGAACATTAGGGTAAACTATGGCCTTATGTGACCATTTCACTTGTATAAAATTGGGTTTATGGCCGTTACCTATCTCACACAATGAGGATTAAGGGATGAGTCGTCAAAGCAGAGCAATGTCCTTGGTGTTGCAGACCTCTCCGTGATCTCTTCAGGTCACATATGAATAGCAAGGAGCATTTAGCTGTAAAAATGCAATGCTTTACTTGGACGGTTGAAAACTACACATAACTTCAATTATTTTAATCCTGCAAATTAAAATGTACAGAATGTTATTAATTCTTGCAGCACCAGTAAGTGAAATAAAGTCTGTGTAGCTCTGCTCGCTCGGTTTTCTCTGCTGTTGGCTGCAGGATTTTCCAGCACCAGAACAAATAATAATCAAGTAAGTTAACATTGGATCTACAGCTACACATCCACACCTACTAAAAATATTCCATAATAATATGATACTCTCTGAATTTGCCTTGAATTTCATTGGGGATTGAAGTATTTATTTATTTGCCAAAAAACTGTTCATAGTACGCCATGGTTCTGGTTCAGATTTAATGCTGATGCTGAGAGGGAGTCTATAAATTTAGAATTATTAAAAAACCATGTTGTTCTCTATACAGTGCATTCAGACTTGTATTTTTCTCTTTATAAGTATTTTAGTATGGCACTTTTTCATTGCAGAATATTTTCTAAGTTTAAAAATCAAAAGGTTTTTTTTTGCTTTTCCTTCATTTGTCACAATCACAACATGATTAAAATCCAAGTGTAAAACTGGAAGTTTGAAAAACATGCAGCTTGAGATGCTTTACATATTTTCACGTTAGTTTTCACTATTTCCCAGAGTGAAACTTCTTTTACTAGAAGAATTCTTATGGGAAAGCAGAGTTGAAAGGACTGACATCATCAGCCCTTCCTGAAAAACAGATTGGTTTCCTTTAAGTAACACTCACTTAAACCACCTATTTAGAGAGAGGCAGACAAAAATAGTTTCAAAGAAAATTAACTGTGTAATAACTTAAAGCACTGGAGGGCAGTTCCTTTACGAAACGCTGGGAACACGACCTGACAACGATTCTTGGAAAACTCTCTATTAAGTTTAATTTTCCTCTTTGCAGCGTCCCACGATAGAAACACTGCGCGGAAACATCAGAGCAAGCTGCAGCATCGCCCCGCATTGTTTTATCGTGCTTTTAACATTGTTATTTGTGTCATTGTCGTGTTTCTCCACGGCGTCACACTCGGCTGTTTTTTAATTTAAGCGTAATTTCAAATAATTCCTTTTGCAGCCGCGTTTCTCAGCGCAGATTTCGGTCCCTCAGCGCTGCCGCCGCTGCCGCCGCGGCCTGCAGGGGGCGCCCTGTCCCCGGCCATGGCGCCTCAGGCGGGGCCGGCCCTGAGGGGACCTGGCCTGGAGCCGCCGTGAGGCGGGCAAATGGTGGCGATGAGGATAAACCTCTCTCTTTTTCACTAATATACCTAGCCGCTCGTAAAGGCATGGTAAATTTTTATTTATTTTCAATTATAAACCCTCCACATTCTCTGTGCTGCCTGAAGCATCCATCGAGCGATTCTCATCACACCTTCACCTGAAGTTTTATTCTTCATGGTCTTAAGGCAGTTGAGAAAAAAAAACCAAAATTAACTTACCTGGTGGGAATTTTCTGTTAATGACTTTTAGAGACCATTCTGTGATTCTGTGATGATTCTTTCTTTCTCAAGCAATCCTGGTGATGGTAGGTCCCACATGTGGGGCTGGGAAGAGCTGGAATCACCAGTTTGGGAAGCATCCAGCAGTTTCTGGGTTTAAGGAAGCTGTGTTTGCTGTGTTTTAACTGCCTTTTTTCCCCCCTTCTTTATTTTTTTTTTTTTGTAATG